GATTATAAAGATAACGAACGATTAGATGTGTGTATGTATGCACAGTGAAGGAGACGCTGGAAGACGTGAAAGGGGAACGGCTAGGGGTACAGCAAGTGACCGTGAAGGACCAACTTTGAACTGTGACTCAGAACTGGGACAAGGCTATTGCGAAGAAAGGGTCATCGAGTGATGTAATATATAAATATATAAATATATAAAAAAAAAAAAATATATATATATATATGTTATATATGCAAACAGGTACAACAGCTATGATACCCATTAAACTATAATAATTGAGACAATAAATGGCTGTGACCAAAAAAATGTTGAGAATTCATTTGAATAGTCATCAGAAGTCGTATGGATGCAAATTAAAATTGAAATTCCGGCATAAAGCTAATTTAGACCAATTTGGTTTCATACCGGATTGTACAGGAAAGGTTTCGCTTTTCGATATCATAAAAAAATGTTGAGAAAAGCTAAATTAAATCGTTGCCCTTGTATAAGAGTCGCTCAACTATTGGGCAGCAGCAGCTGCTGTTAGGTAGGTTCGTTTCCTTATCTTTCTTTCTTGCTTTCTATTTATTTTTTTTAGTTGAGTTTAGTTTGAGCTGTTTCCCCCCTCTGACATGTGTGTTCATTATCTTAAGTAGGAGCCAAAGCAAGATATGGCTGCGGATAATTTCTTGCGTCAAGGCCAGCAAGGCTCAATGCTGTGATACTTGTGCCGCCCAGTGCCAGATGGCGCCACAGTATACATATGTGTGTGTGTGTGCATGTGTGAGTGCCTGCCCATTTTTCAAGTTCAGCTATGCCTCTTCTTGTTTCTTTATATTAATAGTTGGTGCACACAAACAAACACACACATACATAAATATTATAAAAATACAATTGAAATGATGGCATTTACATAGTTAAATGAATGGGTGGCAATGTCAACAGCGGCGGCGGCGGCTCGTAGCTCATTACAGAATATAATGCAGATGTGTACACACTGTATACACACACACAGAGTCATGTGCAGCTGTTGGCATTTTCAAATTAATTTTTTTGCAAAAAGAAAAAAAAAACAATAAATAATATGAATAAGAATAGTGTGCGCGGGCGGAAGGGCAGTGTTGCCACCCTTATTTCTACATATATATTATTTAACTATTCGAGTTAATTATGCTTGTGACTTCTAAATTACAAAAAAAAAAAAAAATGAAGAGAAGAAAGAAACAGATCTCAGGCGCTAGCGGTAAACAAATAAGCGCAAACAGCGCGCGTGTATGGGTGGAAGGGGTTACCGTTAGTAATTAATATTTGATATGTATGTATATGTTTGTATGTACATAACACATGCATACGGACATGCGGACACACATACATGATCATAAAAATAAACGACTCCAGCTACAGTCGCCACATTATAAATGCGTGCTCACGACAAAGCACACAAAATAATAATAAAAGAAAAAACAAAAACGATAAACGAAAAACGAATTTTTGCAGCATTTTATGGGCCATGTATAATTTATTTGTTATTGACGTTTTGATTGTCTGACAACATTTGGCGAGGATTGCATTTGCAGGCTGCAGGGCAGCACGAACTTACAAGCACCCACACATATATATATATATATATATATATCTATAAAGAGACAGAGATGTGCCTAGTTGTATGTATGTTTATCGAATTTAGGGCATCAAAGGCCATTTGACCAATCGAATTTTACATGTACGTACGCAAAAGCTGCGTATGCATGCGTGCGCGTGTGCTTCTGCATGTGTGTGTACATGAGTGCGTAAGGCAACGTGAGAGGCTTGTTTACAGCCAAAGCACTTGACCTTTAAATGTAATTAAAAGCCAGAAAACATGTTAATACATTGATTTCAAATTGGAATACCGTGAAAATTTGTTTGTTTGCTGGATTTATCGAAACAGAAAGAAAAAATACACACACGCAAGCATTCAGCGACAACAACAACAACACCAGCTGAAGCAGTTAACAGTTGTTGTTATCGAATTTACACAAAATGAAAAAAAAATAATTTGCTTTGGATTTAATTGACCACAGCTAGACAGACGGACGGACGGACGGACGGGCAGCGACAGCGACAGCTAGTGACAGCCAAGCATCACATTTATTTATATGTACTCACACACTCAGCGTGTATATACAAGCATGCATATGTAAATAAAAACATTAAAATCCCCTTTGGGCCGATCGGAATTGGATATTCCATTTGGAAATCGTAAAATGACAATCTTATTGGAAAATGTGGTACATACAATGGTTGTACCCTTAAGTATCTAACGTACCTACATAAATACAAGTCTACATATATATATTTATACATATATATATATATATATATATGTATGTATATATTATATATATATATATATATATATATATGACTGTCGCGCACGTACGTATGTAGGTGGTTGCATGTATGTGAGCGTGTGTTTGCAGGTTGTACAATATGATGGATGCGTGATAAAAACGAAAACGAACAGCAAAAAAAATGGAAAAAAAACTTGGTAATCGTAATCGCTCGTATTCTTACTGTAAATGGTATGCCTTCCACGGAGCCAATTGCGAAGCACCGGTCACCCGCATTGCAGGCACCGCTCAATATTTGATGACAATTCATTATTTGTTACAATTGGATATCACATCACAGCGCACAAAGTAATATTCTTGGTTCTTTGGTTTGGTTACTAGCACGATTTTTTCTTTGTAAAACGACAACAAAGTGATGAGTGACATTACATAAAAATGTAGGCCAAATAGTGATGGACGCTATCGACTAGTGCTATCGAACGGTGTTAGTATCTAACTGTCGTATCGATACGTACACTACAAGGTATGATGTTCTAAGCAAAATACCTTATCGATATCAAACATTTGTCTGCTTATTTGACATATTTTGCTATCGATATATAATAATATCGACCAATAATTTGCAACACTGCACAATCCAAATACCGTGTATAGTTTGACTGCTTGCATGGAGTTAATAATTGTAAAATCATAGTTGTTGGTTCTGTATTAGTTTGGCGTATATTCAAATAGCAAAATGGCCGCTGGTCCAATTGCTGAACGTAACCAAGGTAAGCCACAGCTGTACATATGCATCTACTTGTTATATTGAAACGTTTTCGTACCCCTCCAAAATAGATGCCACCATTTATGCCGGCGGCCTAGACGACAAAGTTTCGGAGACGTTACTATGGGAGCTGTTCGTTCAAGCCGGTCCAGTTGGTAAGTTGCAACTAATAAGCGGCGTTTGCATTGCCATAACTGTTGTGTCTTACAGTCAACGTGCACATGCCCAAAGATCGGGTCACGCAAATGCATCAGGGTTACGGATTTGTTGAGTTCCTAAGCGAAGAGGACGCTGATTATGCGATCAAAATCATGAATATGATTAAGCTGTATGGCAAACCTATACGAGTCAACAAGGCATCAGCACATCAAAAGAATCTCGACGTTGGCGCCAACATTTTCATTGGCAATCTAGACGTCGAAGTGGATGAGAAGCTACTCTATGATACCTTCTCCGCTTTTGGAGTGATCCTGCAAACCCCAAAGATTATGCGTGATCCAGAGACGGGAAAATCGAAAGGTTTTGCCTTCATCAATTTTGCGAGCTTCGAGGCTAGCGATGCTGCCATGGATGCCATGAATGGACAATATCTATGCAATCGTCCCATCTCGGTTTCATACGCTTTTAAGAAGGATCACAAGGGCGAGCGCCATGGCTCGGCAGCTGAACGTTTGCTGGCCGCACAAAATCCCTCGGCACATGCGGATCGACCACATCAACTGTTCGCAGATGCGCCCGTACAGAATTTGATGCCTGTTATGCCAGGCCAAATGATGCCGCCACCGATGATGGCACCGCCGCCTCCAGTGGTGCCCGTGTCGGCAAATAACATGGGCATGATAGCACCACCGCCGCCGGTGCCGCAGCCTACACCTTTTCCAGCTACCATACCGCCGCCACCGCTGCCGCCCATGGCCGGTGGTCAGCCGCCACTACCTCCCACCATGGGTATACCGCCGCCGCCACGCATGCTCCAGCCACCAAATGCCTGGGCACCACCCGGCATGCCAGCACCGCCGCCGCGTCCACCGCCAACAAATTGGCGTCCGCCGCCCGTGCCCTTCGCACCGGCTCCCTTCTCTCGTCCCTATCAACCGGATGGCTATCAGTACTAGGTCATCCAACTATTGTATAGCCTTAGCCCGTAGTTATACAATTAATTAGACGACCCAATAAAACTGACCACAAATTTTTATAACACCAAACAAAAACTTCTTTTGATCATTGACACGGGAGAGAAAGAGAAAGAGAGATCCATATAAATATTTCGAATACAGAAATATGTTAGTATCCCAGTCTATATAACTTAGCAAATCTGTATATGTAGAGCATTCAAACTTCATATAAACATCTTTCTTATTCTCCACTTCTTTTTCTTGATGGTTTATTTTATTCGTAACATTTTGAATAAAGAACAAACGATTTATCCGATATCCGATATTTAAAAGATCACAGCTAAATGAATCTTGACTGCAGATCAGATCGGATCGAATCATGTTGTACAACATTTATAATATCGATTTACTATATCCATATAGCACATTCAACATATATAGCATTAATAATATAATATATCAATTTTTATATTTTTCTCTTCATTTTTTCTTTTAAATATTGTCACCGAAAAATGTTCACAAGTTTTTTGTTTACTCAAAATATTTGTCCAAAAAGTTACTTCAAAATTATCTTAATACATTTAGTAATAATTAACAATAACGTTTATAAATAAACTGTTTTTCTTTTTCTCTTCTTTTATGTTTTTTTTTTTTTTTTTTTTTTTGGATAATGCAAAAAGCGATGCAAATGCCAAATGCAAAAATTCATGGAACAGCACAAAAACCGATTTCGATTTGGAACAGATGTGTATATACACACGCATATATATATAGCTATCAGATTTACATATATATATGGTGCACATATGTATTTACATTTGCCTTAATTATAATTAAATCAGCATTCGAGAATTTCATTAGTTAACTATAACATGGAATCCAACAGATGCCGCATACATTCAGTATATAGTTATACGTATTTATATATATATATATAGACAAATTTTAGACCGTTGTCTGCACATTCTGCACGGCCTTGGAGAGCTCCACCTTGGAAGGTATTAAATAAAATGCTGGCGTCATCGTCTCGCCGCAAGGACATTGGCAGGCTGCAAAGACAAATATATAGATAGATATAGTCGGTCAGGCCTAAGATTACTGGATATATATATAAGAGTTGTCTTGCCATCCATGCGCAAAGCTATTAAGTATAAGATATAAGCAAAAATAAGTTTAAGACTTGTCCCTGCCATTCGCAGAACTAAACTTGCCAATAATAAGGATGTATGGCTATAAGACGTCTAAATAAGATTGTCTATATAATAGTATAAGAGAAAACTCTCCTATCATCAGCCATCAGCTGGCTAAGTTTGGCCATCAATAAGTATAAGATATACAATAATAAGTATAAGAGTTATCTGTTCTACAATACAATGGATAAGAGTTGACAATTGATATAGGAGCTTATAAGAGTTGTTGCGCCTACCATTCACCCAGCTAAAGTTGCCAATTTTCTGCTCGCATTTGGGACAGTAGAGTCTGCCCTGGGTGTTCAACATGATGCGATGCATCCAGGCGATGGGCTCTACAAATAGTAAACTGCGACAATTGTTGCTGGAGCCAGAGACAGCGGCGGCAGCAGCGGCGGCGGTGACGAGATTCTCGTGACTGGGCGAACCTAGCGACGCTTTGCGTATGCGCTCCGCCAGCTGGTCGAGCAGTCGCGGCTCCGAGCCTGATCCAGTGGTTTCGGTAAGCGTTTGCTGTTGTTCTTGCTCCTGTACCTGGTCCTGTTCCTGTTGATGTGGCATGCCACGAGGTCGATGCTCCAGCACATGAGACTTGGAGGCGAGCACACGTCGACAGCGGCGACAGCGAAAAACAATTGGTTCGGGATTCTCACGTGTGATATCCGGATCGGGACGCACCACACTATGGAAGCTCTGTGGCAAGATTTTAGCCTTGCGCATTTGCTCGCCAGCAAGACGCAAGCGATGCATCTTATAGCGCTGATAGTTGGGATCGATTTTATAGCCCATACGGCGGAAGAGCTTCAGCTGTGCCACAAATCCCGCATTGGGCTGAACAAAGCGGCGCTTGGCCAGCACCAGCTCATATGCTGGCTGATAGTCCAGGCCATGACGTTTCATCATGTAGGCAATCACTGCCGACGAGCTACGACTGACTCCAAAGTAGCTACGGAATGTACATGTATATATATATAAGGTAAAGCAGTCTGTATATCAATATATCTGTTGTCAATACCAATGGACGAGGACATTGTTTTGCTGCTCCAAGGCCCCAGCTATGAACTGCACGCAAGCCTCCAGATGTTGTAAGATATCTTCGCGTGGCATGTCCGAAACTGCAATAATACAAATATATAATCAATGCTTAATAGGGTACATATCTATGTATATAGTATATTTGACTCCCACATACTCTGTACGTATTTGGTTGTTAGGAAACTCGCCTCCACAATATGCTGCGGCAGAGGCACTGAGTCCAGCGTTAATATATGTGTTATTTTAAAGGCTTTGAGCGTCTCCATGTGCGTAGCTGCCGTCAAATTGCCTGCAATATAGATACATATATATATATACGTTCATGTTCATGTTCATACTTATATGCGTATGTATATATGTATATATAACAGATGGTCAGTTAGCTACTGCGGCTTACCCAGAAACAAACCCGTTTCGACTTCATCTATGCTAACGGGTCCGCCATTGAAGTCCTGCCGCGTTAATGTGCCACTGTCCTGTCGTTTGCCACGCGCTGCTGTTGCAGGCTCCATGCTGCACGCTCAAGGGCAGCAGCGGGCTGCAACGACAGTCAACAAAAACGGCAACTGTTGCTCTTAACGGTTGCGAAATTGCGCTCACACTGTTGCAACTGACAGCTGCATGGTAATTGTGGCCGTTTTTTCCTTGTTGATACACTATTTGCTGCTCCTCGTTTAATGGCAGCTCCTCACACGCCGCGCCCGCAGCATTGGAAATGGCATTGCGCTGTTGCTGTCTTCTACTTGTAAAGCACAAAATTTCATGCTGCCCTGATCCGCACTTAACGAGGGCCACCAGATAACGCCAAATTTGTGCGCAACTCTGTTGACTCGCACTGCGCATGACGTCACAAATACAAACATACAACATCCACAGAAATACGATTAATTAATTATTTATAATAATATTCCTTAGAATAGTATTCAAATAGCGTATATTAATTTATAAAAAGATTCTATTGACTAAACAAATAAAGGCTTTATTTGCCATACATGACAGCTATGACGTCATGCTGATAAATGCCGAGCAGAAGACCTGTACAATGCATTACCATGTGCCCTAATTCTAGAATACAATAAAATATCGATAGCCAATTGAAGAGATGCACGATAATAAGTGCTAAAAATTGCTAGTTTTTCAATTAAGCTTGTAAACAGCTAAATTCTTAAGAAACTAGCCGTTAAATGGCTAAAACTTACGGAAATGTAAAAATTATCTTATATTTTAGCTTGCACACATCCGCCTGTTCATTAATAACACAATAATTAATCATGTTTCAAAAAGCTGACTATGTACCATACTATTAAAAAAATAAAGATATGTCAAGCTGATTACTGAAAATCAAGAAAACTGACAAAACAGCAGAATACTGGTTTGACTTACAAAAAAACACAGATCTGACTTCAACAAAGCTATTAGGGGAACACTAATGTGCAATATCGATAACATTCAATGCGCTCACTTTGTGCAATCGATAGACAATGACCAATTATCTCTAATAAATAGACCGCGACGTTGACGGCACCGGCTAACACACAAAACAGATCAAATAGGAAGAAAAATTAACAAAAAATGACTACGCTGCGACCATTCACCTGTGATGACCTCTTCAAATACAATAATGTGTAAGTACACTGTGCGTGTATATATATATATATATATATATATACATGTACAAAGGCACAAATACAGCTAGTCTATTTCAGGAATTTTGATCCGCTCACAGAAACATACGGGCTCTCATTTTACACACAATATTTGGCCAAATGGCCGGAGTACTTTCAACTAGCTGAATCACCCAGTGGACACATAATGGGCTACAGTAAGTACAGATATGTGACTACCATTTTCATATATATATTCAAATGTTCTACAGTTATGGGCAAAGTTGAGGGTCATATGGACAATTGGCATGGACATGTAACGGCTCTAACCGTTTCGCCCGATTACCGCCGATTGGGTCTGGCAGGGCTGCTAATGAACTTTCTAGAGGATATATCCGAGAAGTAGTTATTATATATATATGCATAAACTAGGTCTAAACCATTTCTTGTTCTTGCAGAAAACGCGCATACTTTGTGGATCTTTTTGTGCGTAAAAGCAATAAAGTGGCCATAAATATGTACAAAAATCTAGGCTATATTATATATCGTACCATACTTGAGTATTACTGGGGTGAACAGGACGAGGATGCGTATGGCAAGTGCTTAGAATCTAAATTATTGAACGAGTGAGTGATTGATTGATTGTATTTGACTGGTTACAGATATGCGAAAGGCGCTGTCGCGAGATGTGAATAAGGAATCTGTTATACCATATACGCAACCTGTACGATTGGAAGATATAGATATGAATTGATATCCACCCAATACTGCCCGCATTCGCATTTATGTTTAACTATGATACTGATTCATCATTGCATTTCGCCTACAAATTTTTAGTTCAACAACGGCAACAAAAAAAAAAAGCAAAAAAAATTGTATCTAATCTGGAGTTATAAACCCTACAAATCAATTTGCTAACTCTCAAAAAAAAAAAGAAAAGAAAAGAAAACCCCTAGTTCGAATCACCCAAAATTCCTAGTTGGATTATAACAGATATTGTAATCCATAATTATGTTAATAATACTTCTTATACGCATACATATATATATAATTCTACATGAATTTGTTATCAGTAAATAAGACTTCTTAATGCCGATTACATAACTATCACAAAACGAATGTTCTCACTGAAACTTTAAGGTAAATAATATAGTTTATCCTTTACGAATTGTAGCTAACCTTATATCATATATTATCTATTTGCATATCTGTGTCATTTGTTCTAATCAAATTTAAAAAAGAAAACAATCAATTTTTGCAGGTGACAATGCGTGAGTTGCGCCACCAATTGCGGCAACAAGCTAAATGCGAATAACGGAACATTTTCTCCATCCGTAACAAACAAGGAAGATATTTATTTTTGAGCAATTTTCTATTTCTTTTCCAATTTAAATTTGTAGGTCCAATTTAATAAATTTATAGTTGTCCAGAAGAATGTTTAAATATACATATATATTAGGATTTTATATATATATATATATATATATATATATATATATAGGAAAATATGTGCGTGTGTGTGTAGACTAGTTTTTGAAAAATAAAACAAAAGCCCAATTACAGAAGAAACCAACTTTTTTTCCTTTAGAACACGGCAAAGTCAACTATCTCGCTCTAAAAAATTACCGTTTAGCAAACTCTTTGATTCCCAGGAAAATTTGAATTGAGATTTTCGACTTGTAAGCGCAGCTAATGACAGCACTTATCATAAATATTAAATTCAAGACGAAAATAGTGCAGAAATCGTTATTTTGCCAAGGTCTAAGCAATCAGCTAACTTATTGATGTGAAAATAAAATTACTTTGGAGTTAAACTGTTTTAATTAAAATGGAAATAACGGGTTTTCATAACCGTTTCAAACCTTGTACGTGCCTAAACTCAAATAAGGGAAATTATTTGTTAGTGTTCAGTAGATAAATAAATATCCCTATGCAAAATGCATGTACACGATTGGATGTGTAAGTGGAAATAAATGAGTAAGGTAACGGTTCAACAATTGGAGCTGACATAAGAGGAAGCATAAAAGATGAATGCACGTAAGAAGAGTACTCAATATATTTGTAAATATGTATGCTACTACGAATGAAAAACTATATGAGAAAATATGCATGCATGTAAATACTTATATGTATATATATGCATGTATTACACACACGTAGTACGTAGAGCCATTTGTACTTGGCTCTGTAAGTGGATCTAAACAAATTTCCAAACCCAATATATTCGCCGCTTCGGCCGCAATGCGATGAGCGACGGACAGCAACGTGTGGATTGCCTTCTCTCTTTTTCGCGTGTGTCACGCTCTAGCTGTGTATGTGTATGTGTGAGTGTGTCTGTGTATACTTGTACCAGTATAAATGTGCATGTGTATAAGTATGTGTTTTGTATCTGTTCTTAACATACGAAACAAAAATTCAGCTTGCTTTGTGCTACTGTAGGGTATCTTTGGCGCAATGAAGCAGCCGACCATTTGTCTTCTCATCTAATTGTCATTAAAAATTTTACGGTACGAATATGTGGGCACAATAGAGCCACATTCAGATTCACTGTGAGATTGAGACTCAGTCGTTTAGTTTCATATTCCCATTTCATGCATGTAAAACTCGTTTCAAGTTGAATTTTTGCCAGCAATGTGGCAACGCTGCGCCCCACAGCAACAGCAACTACAACGCCAAACATGACGGATACTGATGTGCCATTGTATGCGTGCAAATGTGTGTGTGTGCGAGAAACCGAACATAGGGTAAAAATAAGCGAACCACAAACAGTCAACAGCTACAGAGCTAAATTGCAGCTGCTATACGCGTCGCCGACGACGACGACGAATAGGGTAAGTAAAAATCAGGCAACAGCAACAACAACAACAACGAATAATGCGGCAAAGCGCAAATGACGCTAAAGCCGAGCCAAAGACGCAGATGGTAAAACGAACGAATGCGAACACGAACGTTACAAAAACAACAACAACGGCATCAGCAACGAACGTACATACAGCGTTGAGCGTATGTATGAATGCAAGCATACGAAGCGATAAACTGCCAGGGGCGTACCGAACGGGGTACAGCGACATTTGTACACATTGATGGATGGTTGGATGAATGTACGAATTGTACATAAATTGCGCACTCATGTCAGAAAGTAATTATTTGTATTTGTTGCCGCTGCTGCTGTTGTTGTTCTCGTGGTTGTTGTTATGGATGAGTACAAATGCGGCAGGCGGCAGTTGGCAGTCGGCAATGGTTGCAACAACCCCTATAAATGGTGGCTGCGACGCCGCTGTTACTGCCGCTTGTAGCGAACAGCAAGCGACAAGCATTGAATACGAATGAACGTTCGAAAGTGGAAACGACGATAAAGCGGTGCGCACACAGTCGTGCGGCAACGAGGGGTGAGCCGCCGCTGCTGCTGCTGCTACTTCTGCTGCTGTTGCTGTTGCTGCCACTGGCCACTGGCAACTGGCAACTGGCAATTGAAAGACACACAACTTCAGTTCCACTCATAGTCATTCGGGGCGAGTCAGAGATAAGGCGCTCCTGCAGTTCGGAGTAGTATTCTAGCGCGCACGCACACAGCTGCATCCTTGTTTGTTTTTTTCTTTCTGTTTTTTGTTTTTTCGTTAAATTTCTTTTTTCGTGCTCGTGCAGCCCCTGCTCATCGACGCCACTGGCATTCAAGGCAGAGGCAGCGACTACTGCTAGCTTTATAGCTGGCTGGCTCTGGCACTGGCTGTTTTGCTGACTGCCTCGCTGTGGACAGAACGAAAGACAGGCGGCAACTAAAGCGGCGGTCGCAAGCGAAATTTGTTTAATATTAAATACAAATACAAATACAAGATTAACAACAACAACAGCAGCAGTAACGACGACGCTCGACGTACTAGAAACAACTATAATAATAAGAATAACATACGTAAAATAAAATAAAAATAACGGCAAATCAAAAAAGAAACGAAGACGACGAATAGCGGCGGTAGCGGAGTACACAGGCTATACGAAACGTTTTTGAAAAACGCCAAAAGGTAAGCACAAGCAGCTGCACTCGCATACGACTACGAATATTCGCGTTCGCGTCCGCATTCGCATTCGCATTTGAAATTCGCAAATCGCATTTGGCTGGCCTCCTCTGGGCAACCCGTGTCTGCGACTTGGACAAACAGCTCTCAAACAGAAACTGCAGCTAAATGATGTTATGTTTTAGTTGTTAGTTGTGAGCAAATACACATATATGTTTTCAATTCGTATAGTGCTTCGTAATATTTCCCATTTTTATTCTCTTTTCCAAAATACAATATATATATGAAAAGAAATTTCGTTGCCCCGTTTCGCCTTAATGGTGGTAGTGTATGTGTGTGTGTGTACTTGTTAGTGTATGTGTGAATCGCTACGAGTATATATATAATATATATATATATATATATGAATGTGTATGTGTGTAAGCGAGTTGTTTGTATGTGTATGAGTGTGTGTGTGTGTGCATGCTTGTGTTTTTGAATGTGTGCGTGCGAAAGACCGACAACGACGTCGACGACGACCAGTAAAAAGAACCCGACTGGCTGTTGGTGTGGACTGCGACTGGTGCGGAGAGTAAAATTCGATTTGCTGTGCCCTGAAAAATTGCAAATTGCAAACGAAATGTGATTATCGGTATTGAAAAATTCTGCTGACAAATTGACATAAAAAAGAAAATAATTAAATAAAAACAAATGATAAACGGACGGTGAATAATTGTAAATTATAAATCGGCAATTATTTAACGGTGCATGCAAACAGCATACGGCAACGCTGTCATTTATTTTTTTTTTCATTTTTCTTGCTGTGGATGTTTTAACTGTAATGCTAATTTCTGTGTAGCTTGTGTTTTCGCGTTGCCTGTTATATACATCTTCTTCTTCTCTATTTTCATGCCAACGTTTCGCCGGCAACAACTATAACAACTACTGTGACGGCTACATCAATAAAAACAACAACAATCACATCAAATGGAAATTGTATCGATAACGATAGTAGCCGTAGGCTAATCGATAGACATACTGAAGAGGCAAATAGAACGTCCCATACAATCTCTAACACAAACACACACATATATATATATATATATATATATATATACATAAACATACACATATACACAGTACATTAGCGTATACAATTCAACATTAATCGATAAACGATCAACAAGAAGAACAACAACAGAAAAATGTCGAACGGCAAGGCGACAGCTTCGTTCTTTGAGAACGGAAGCACCACACAGTTTGAATACTGCTATGAACTGTATCCGCAGGTGCTAAAGATTAAGGCCGAAAAGCGTAGCAAGAAGCCACAAGAGCTAATCCGTTTAGATCAATGGTATCAAAATGAACTGCCCGGTTTGATAAAAGCGCGAGGGAAAGACGCCCATTTGGTATACGACGAACTTGTTCAGGCCATGAAATGGAAACAATCAAGGGGCAAATTTTATCCACAATTATCATATTTGGTCAAGGTGAATACACCACGTGCAGTCATTCAGGAGACAAAGAAGGCCTTTCGCAAGCTACCGAATTTGGAGCAGGCGATCACAGCTTTATCGAACCTCAAAGGTGTCGGCACCACAATGGCATCCGCCTTGCTAACAGCCGCCGCCCCCGATTCAGCCCCGTTTATGGCCGATGAATGCTTGATGGCCATACCAGAGATCGAGGGCATAGATTATACGACCAAGGAGTACCTCAATTTTGTGCAGCACATTCAGGCAACAGTGGAGCGACTTAATGCGGAGGTCGGTGGCGATACGCCGCATTGGTCACCGCATCGCGTTGAACTGGCGCTCTGGGCGCACTATGTGGCCAATGACCTCAGTCCCGAGCTGCTCGATGATATGCCATCACCAGCGGCAGCAGCTAATACAAATGGTAGCCTGAGCAAGGCGAGCAAGGTACTCGATGGCGAGGACACCAACGATGGCGTCGCTGTCGATGTGGATGAGGATGAGAGCCTCGGTGCAGGTGAGATCAATGATCTAGAGAAGACAACCTAGAGCTGTATAAGTGTAAAGTATATATATATTGATCAATCGCTAATCTACATTGATTTGAAACTTGGCTTAGCGACAAAATCGTTTTCGTGCAGGCTATACATCGGCTTACTATATACAGTGTATAGATGTATAGATATAAGACAGATCGATATATATATATATATATATATATATATATTTATATATATATATATATATTATATATTATATAAATATTCACATATTATCTGTATTAATGACTTCATCTTTTTCTCAATCGAAATCCAGGTGGTCGGAATACGGCAACAGAATCGGAGACAGAGAATGAGAATACCAATCCGATATCGTTGACGCCGCTTGGCAATTCGAGTGGTGGCGTTGGCGGCGGCAAGAGCAACAATAACAGCAACAGCAACAATAACAACAATAGCAACAACAACAACACTGCCGCCTTGCAGGATGGCGACTCGAACTTTGTATCGAATGATTCCACCTCACAGGAGCCGAACATTGATGACAACACCACACAGACAACGGCCACCACATCGACAGAAGATGGTGAGCCGATGGGCGTGGCAACGCCACTTGCCTCTGACTCGGAAAGCAATCTCGAGGCGCCGCTCAAGAGTCGATTGGCAGCGGTTGGAGTTTGTGTTGGCACAGGAGCAGGAGCTGTAACTGGATCAGGAGCTGGAGCAGCTGTTGCCCAATCGCACAACAACAGCAAGCAGATTAATAACAATGGACAAAGCGCTGCACAACCAGCAGCAGCGGCAGTTGCAGTAGCAGAACAATTGGGAGGAGCAGTAGCAGCTGCAGCAGTAGCAGCTACTGCAACAGCAGCCAATGGTAATGGCAATGGCGTTCTCTCGCTTGGTGGTAGTGCGTCGGTTGCGACGAATCAAGTTGATGACGATGATGAGGAGGAAGAGGATGAGGATGAGGAAGAGGACGAGGAGGATGATGATGATGAGGTGGACGATGAGCTAGAGGCTGATGAGAGTAACAGCAACGGCAGCAGCAATTTGCGGGCCAGCAAGTTGCAGCATTTAGCTGCAGCTGCAGCTGCGGCGACAGAAGCGACAACGCTAACAGCGCCATCTATTGGACAGAAGCGTACGGCGCTGCATTGCGAATTGGAGGCAAATGCTGCTGCAACTGCAACTACGGCGGTGGCTGCTGGTGAGAAATCGCCCGAGTTAAAAAAGCTGCGTAGCGACTGAGCTGAATGCAGCGCAGCGCCGCAGCCGTCGCTAAGAAGCACCGTTAGGCCGCGTATATCTGGTGGAAAGACATATGTATGTAGTGCAGTTGAGTCGACATTTGAGAGCAACATTACCTACACTTTGCCACAACAACATTCAAGAAATTTTACTATTAAGCAAAACTAATTATACATATAATATATAATATATATATACAACAAAGAAAAAGAACACACACATACATACACACACATATAACAAAAACCAGCACACACACACACATACACACACAACGAGAACATAAAAGGAGATCGAGAAGCAGCACAGCAGCAGCACTTAACACAACATAGGCTTAACAGGCAAAAATATAAAATGAGAAGAACAAGGAGAAGATCCCATAACAGAGAGAACATAACACACCACACCACACTCACTCACATTAAATAGGAACATAGTGCGGGCGCGTATTAAATGAAGTTTAAGTTCAACTCGAGGATAAAAGCAAGTAATGTTGGATTATGATATGATATGATGATGATGATGATGTTGATGATGATGATGATGGTAATTGATATAAAGAGTAATAGCCATACGGAGTCCCCAATTGCAGCAGCGATTAACATTATATATGTGAAGTGAAAACGATAAGCAAATACATAGTAACTATTAAATCAGATACAAATTGATATTTTTACACAGTCAAATGAAACCAACATTTAAATATTAAACGAAAAAACAAAAGATAAAAATTTACAAATGCCGCAGTTGCCCACTACATACAAGAAACGGAAGAAAAAAACAATAATTATAATAAAAAGTAATTTATATAAGTATTTAAAATTAACAATAAATCAAAAAAAACTTGTCGCATAAAACTCAACACATCGTCCCCGATTGATCGCAGCCTTCCTTGACCCCCACAACACATACACGCGCCCCATCTCTCTTTCTCTCGCACCCAACCACCCATCCATACACGCTCGCTAAAACTCACCATCCTTATGCACAAGCATACATCTCCACATACACATACACACACCCACACAAACATATACATCCGCATCCCACTCCAAACAGACGACGCCGCTGTCGACGTCGACTAAGCAAAAACAAAAACAAGAAAAAAATACAAAAACTCATTTAAAACAATGCGAAATTTTTGTGGTCGTATTTGTAATAATATAATTTTTAATTTATGTGTACAACTTACTTTTTTTTTAATACTATATATAATACTGAATTTTTTATAATTTATACGATAATATTTTTTCATTTGATTTAAAAAAAAAAACATACATTTAAATTCATTTTGGCATCGATCTACTTTTATCTGTGGGGCTGAAACATCATAATACGATACTTTTTTCAGCTTCTGCTACTTCGAATTGGTATCGGAAGCGAATCAGTTGTCAGAACACCATCTCTCAAAATTATAATAATTTTAATTGATAGAGCATAAGTTGAAAATAAATTGTGAAAAATATTATCAGTACAACCGAGCCAGATGCAAACCAATGAAACCTCCTTAAAGTACCTGTCGAATCAATTTCTCAATTTTTATAGTTACAAATTGCGAACATTTGCAAATACTTTTTGAATATTGTACACAAGCGCGTTAAAAAGCTTGATATCGACGAGCCGCCACAAATAAGCGGTTATTGTTTGCTGCTGAGATGTAAGCAACTTACTGCGAGTATTGTGTTCTTATAAGAAAAAGAACAAACACCCGGCATAATTTGAAATATTGTAAAATTCTGCGATAATAAAGCAAATACAAGTCGTGCTGCATTAATCGAGTATTTTTGCGCATCCTTGGAATATGCTACAAAAAATACTGCTCTAAACATATCGATAGTAAATAAGTGCGGTTTTTAAAATATCGCTTAAGAATAAGAATATCGATACGCCTACAACATCCCTATTTTTAGTATTTTGTTATTTATTTATTAAAATAAGAAAAAAAATAGAAAAAAGAAACCTGTGTCATCTGTGTGCTGTTGCGCTGTGCCGCACAATGTTTAGCAGATGTCATAATTGCAGCTAAACGCTGTGAATATGCGACAAAAACGGCAAAAACACGATCCAATACAACGTTAACTAGCTGCCGTGCACACAACATACATACACCTAAATATATACATAAACACGCACTCACACACATAAAAACCTTTGGACGCCACGGATTAGCAGCAGGCGAGCGGGACGGAATAACAGAGATTAGAGTGTGGATACGGCGCCATGCTCCTGGTGCGTCAGCTGTTTGGCTCATCATCCAATTCGTGGGTGCGCGCCCTCATCATCTTTGTGCTCGCCTGGGCGGTGCTCGTCTATGTGTTTGTGCTCAAGCTAACCAGCAACCAATCCCAGAATCAAAGCCATCAAACAATATCTGCCAACGACAATGAGTACAATGCACGGCGCATTAATCAGGCGCTGCAGCTACTGGAGCACACGGAGCGACGCAACGAGGAGCTAAAGCTGCTCATCGATGAGCTGATGAGGTATGTGCCATCAACATCATCAACATCATCATCGGCATTATTAGCATCAACATCATCAGCAACAAGCCACAAGTAGAACTTAAGCTGGAATTCTCGCCCACAGCCTCCACCCGCACTCAACCCATCTAATCCGCTTAAAGAGCGGCCAATTAATGCGACCTTTCATATGTAAAGTGAGCAAATGATATTTTGATTCGGCTAGCCGAATAGTGAATACCCTTGCAGACATTGCTGATAATTCCAACATATATAAATATTTCTATATATAGATTCAATCTATGACATTTGCTCAATAGTGTATATATACCAAGTACTCCTGCTATCTGTTATATAATAGATGACGTTGTCTATATGCTCGCTGCAAGGGTAGCCCATGAATGCTCGGTCACGCTTGCATACGCAGGCATTGACGAATGACGAATCACCACGCACAACCTGTGCCTCTCCTCCCCCCCTCTCTCTCTCTCTCTCTATCTATCTGTGTGTGTGTGTGTATTTGTGTGTTGTTATCTTCAGTTGTTGTTGTTCTTACAGCGAACAGCTGGATAAGCAGAGCGCCATGAAGCTAATCCAAAGGCTGGAAAATGATTCGCACAATGCAAAGCAATCAATGGGTGATGATACGCTCTTCGAGGTGATTGCAGCAGATGCCGCTGGATTGGATCAGCAGCAGCAGCAGCAACAGCTGGGGCTGGGAGTAGATGCTGTCGCCCAGCTGCCTGGTCAGCCGGGCGTTGAGCCCAGCTTGGAGTACGAGTTGACGCGGCGACGCATCCACACGAACATTGCCGAAATTTGGAGCTACTTCAGCAGCGAGCTGGGCAAACTGCGCAAAGTGGTCGGCCCGGGCAATGCGGAGCTAGAGGAGTCCATACAGCAGGTGCTGCTGCAGGGCGCCGACCACAAGCGCTCGCTGCTGAGCGACATGGAGCAGCTGCGACGCGTCGACGGCTACGAAGCCTGGCGCCAACAGGAGGCCAATGAGCTGAGCGATCTGGTGCAGCGGCGACTCCATCATCTCCAAAATCCCAGCGATTGCCAAAACGCTCGCAAACTCGTCTGCAAGCTGAACAAGGTTCAAGCGACAACTATTCTATCTATAAGAAATGAAGTTCCTCCATCTACTTCCTTCTACTCACTCCTATGCACACTCCTTATCATTTGTTCCCTTCTCTCAGTATCATCGATCATTTCTCTTTTGTTCAGTTCGGTTTTTATATATGTACTAATTGCATGTTTTGTCATTTCTTGTCATTTCGTATGCCTATAAGTATCCATACTGTACAGAGAGAGAGCATAGTTCTCTCTAGAGAGAGCGGGAACTCTTTCGTTTACTTCTTTGCTTCAAGTTCTTTCTGTAACTATGCATGTTATCCATATTTGTTAATTATTCCTAGAACTGTCTTTTTCCCCCTCTCTCGCTGTCTTTCTCCTGCAGTCAATTGCTCTTTACTACTTCTCTTTTGTGTTGCATTCGTAAACGTTACACCAATTCCAATTTCCTTTCTGTTCCTCTTCTGCTCTCTCCCCATCCTTAATTTCGGCTCAAAACTTTCATTTTCCCTTCAATTATTTGGCTCTTTTTGTCCTTCTCTTTATTCTAACATTTCTGCACTCAATTAACCTGCCCAAAAAATGTGATTTAGATAACTTTTATTCCTTGTTACCCAAAGTTTCATTTACTTTCCTGCTTTTCAGCTTCTTTGCTTAACTTTGTTGCTTTCGTAAACGTTACACTGGCTGCTCTTAGCAAAGTTTAGCTATTGCTAAGTTTCATTCCATTTCGTTCCATTGCAGGGCTGTGGCTATGGCTGCCAGCTGCATCATGTGGTCTACTGTTTCATCGTGGCCTACGCCACGGAGCGAACGCTGATACTGAAGTCACGCGGCTGGCGCTATCACAAGGGTGGCTGGGAGGAGGTGTTCCGTCCGGTGTCCGATAGCTGCCAGGATGCGGGCACAGCGTATGCCTATAACTGGCCGGGCAAGCCCAATACTCAGGTGCTGGTGCTGCCGATCATTGATTCGCTGATGCCACGTCCACCTTACCTGCCGCTCGCTGTGCCGGAGGACCTGGCGCCGCGTCTGAAGCGCTTGCACGGCGATCCCATCGTCTGGTGGGTGGGACAGTTTCTCAAGTATCTGCTGCGTCCGCAACCGGACACGCGCGACTTCCTCGACTCCGGCATGCGCAAGCTGGGCTGGGAGCGTCCTATTGTGGGGTAGGCAGTGACATCACCTATCCATTAGCTATTTGCTCCAATCTCTATCTATATCTCGATCTCTGTATCTGCTTGCAGCGTTCATGTGCGTCGCACGGACAAGGTGGGCACCGAGGCGGCCTTCCATGACATCGATGAGTATATGACGCATGTGGAGGACTATTATCGCACGCTCGAGATCAACGGCAGCAGCGTGGTGCGTCGCATCTTCCTAGCCTCCGACGATGCGCGCGTCATTGTGGAGGCTCGCAAAAAGTATCCGCAGTATCAGATCGTTGGCGACCCGGAGGTGGCGCGCATGGCTGCCGTTTCCACACGGTATACGGACACCGCCCTGAATGGCATCATCCTGGACATCCATCTGCTGTCCATGTCCGACTATTTGGTGTGCACATTCTCGTCGCAGGTCTGCCGTGTGGCATACGAGATAATGCAAACGATGTATCCGGATGCGGCGTACCGCTTCAAATCGCTGGACGATATCTACTATTACGGCGGACAGAATCCGCATAATCGACGCGCAGTCATTCCGCATAAGCCGCGCTCGCACGAGGATCTGCAAATGAAAGTGGGAGATCTCGTTTCTGTTGCGGGCAATCATTGGGATGGCAATTCCAAGGGCAAGAATACGCGCACCAATCAGGGCGGACTCTTTCCCTCCTTCAAGGTGGTCGACAAGGTCGAAACGGCAAAGCTGCCAGTCTATGCGGGTGTCTAAAGTCCGTTCCGGAAACACAGTTCCGTCTCCCGGATACTCAGCACCTTAACCGTAACCTTAATCTTCTCTTCTGCTGAATCTCAATTGTCAAACTCTGCTCCGCATTCCAAGTGTTTGTGTATCTTAAATTCTGGTGCAAAACGTCAAAAGCGAACAAAAACGAAACTAAAAAACTCAAATTCTCCAAATACTCGAATCTTGTTTGTGTTTGGAATGTGGAATCGGTCAATGTTCTACACGATTCCGTTTGTTGCACTAATTCTATGCATTTTCCTAAGCCGAAGAAGTTAGAAAAAAAAACAAAAATCAAATGTTGACAACATAAAGAATATACATATAGAGAAATATATGTCTATACATATATATATATATATATATATATATACGTATGTATATAGCGCATAATATAATATATAAATATATATATGCATTTATATGTGTATATATAGTATATTTAAGCATGCATGTAGGGTTCAAATACGCGCAATATAGTTTATCCTTGTAACATAGACGAAACTCACACAAATAAATTATAGTCAAGTTTTAATTTGCAATTTGCAGTTGAATTTATTTGGGGGAGGATCGGAAACGAATGGAATGTCATATCAAATGTACCAAAGCTGTTACGCTGGTACATTTGGCTACCAAATGGTACATTCCATGCTCAAGTAAGGCAAGAGTACAATTCAATCGATGACGATAAATAATTTGTTTTCATTTGAAAAAAGGAATTTTCTTATATACGCTTGCTTTGGTTGCTGTACCAAATGGCGATGTTGTACCATAACAGAAAGCCTCAAATACACAAATGGTAACTCCATTTTGGTCTTTGGTACATTTGCTGTTAGTTTTCGGTACCAAAAGGCAATGGTATACCATAACCAATGCCGTTAAATGACTGCTCATGTACACAGATGGTACCTCAATTGCCTTTGGTACATTTGCTGTTAGTTTTCGGTACCAAATGACAGCAGCAGTGCTGTGAATGTCAATGTCAATGACTGAGCCGGTCGACATTGGCTTCGATATGCATACATACAAATACATGCAGGCAGTCAGCCAGACAGACAGACAGACACACACACACAAACGCACGCGCCCGCAGGTACACAAAAGGCAAAATGTAACGTACTCCTCGATTGCTATTTTGAACTTTGTTTGTTTTGAAGCTCAGGTTCAAGATCCCAACCGGTGAAAGTGCACGGGCGGGCTGGTTGGCAGGCAGGCTGCTGCTGCTGATGATGATTTGTGTGCGAAACGCTGACTCAGAAACGAATTTTATAGCAAGCCACAGGAATGCTACGTTATAAACAAGAAATAACCAACGAAAATTCCCAAAAAATTAAAAGCAAAACAGGCGCCAATTGACAGAGCGAAATGAAAAACGTGATAAGCGCTCGCACAAAAAAATGTATATATAAATAAAAACATATATATATTTATATATATAGTATATAAATTAAAGCACCTCACAAAATTATTTATCTGCGTAATATAATTAAGTACTCAATGAACCGCAGGGAAGTCGCCGCAGCAGCAACAACAACAGCAAAAAGTTACCAAACAGGCAGCTGCCGTTAAACCAGCATGGGCGCGAAAAGGAGCGGTGTATGGCGAGAGCTATGCGTTGGAGAAGGTCAACTTGGTTGAGCCTCAGCTGAGCCTCAGCTGACGGCGCTCGATAAGCCCGTCATACGGACTTTGGCTTTGATAACAGGCAACGATTCTGTATATAAAACATTGGCGCTGCCTTCCAATCATCAACACTTGCGGACTTACATCCCAATCAGCAACAGCAAACGGCAGCATCCAGCTTTCAGCGTATTTCCAGTCAAATACCCATACAAGAATATTCAACATGTCGCAATTCAGTTTTATCGCTCTGATCGCCTGCGCCGTCTTCTATGTTCTGCATAGCCACAGCGCCACAGCGGTGGTCGTTGGCAAGGCGGACTACAAAAATATTAGTGAGTATAAGAGTGCGAAAGAGACAGATGGAGTTATACACATATCAATGTATATCCTTTGCTTCACTCTAGATTTTCCCGGCAAGTGTGTGCTGAACGCCAATTCGATTATGTCGCCCGGAGAAAGTGGCAAGGCGCCCAATCATCCGTGCGCCAGCATCACCTGCCTCGAAGACGGCACTGTTGAATTTCGCACCTGCCGAGCAGTGGCGCCACCAAAGGGATGCAAGCAGCGCGACTTTGTAAACACCAATCGTGATTTTCCCGCTTGCTGCGAGCGCAGCTACGAATGCAAACCGACAATCTAAATGCTATCATTATCGATAACCTTTTATTGTTGCCTTTTTTAATCTTGTATTTTCGTTTTTTTTTCGTTGGTTTTTATTAATTTTGTATACTACAACATAACAATTAAAATGTAAACGCTTAGCAATATAATTAAATAATTTAATAAAATCATTAACAAAAAATACATATGCATTTATGTATGTATGTATGTACATATGTATGTTTGCTTTCTCTTGTGGGCGTGTGGGCAAAAGGCCTCGCTGCTAATTAACTACACCTACACACATTCATATCGCTGTTATATTTATTTGTAATTGTTTTTATGCATGTGTTGCTCCATTTTACTATGTACATACGCATTACTCTAGCGTAGTTTGTTTTTTTTTTTGCATCCCAACACAGTACGCATCTGTTTGTGTGCGTGTGTGCCTGTGTGACAAGCAGAACAATAATTTGTTTTGCTTTTGTATTCTTCGTAACTTTCGCTTCTATTTGTGTATGTGTGCGTGCTGTGTCTCCTATCGACTGAGATTATTTATGTAGAGCGCGTGCAGTTCGGTGCGCGGAGTATTCTCGAACAGGGCGGCACGATTCTGGCCTTCGCCCTTCTTCACCCAATGACCATACACGCGGAAGGCACAGCCATCAATAACCTGTTCACGATAAATGTTATTATCAGTGATCGATGTACATAAATCATGAATGCACTGTGTTATTTACCTTGCGCAGCACCTTGACGCGATAAGGATCACGTATGGCCTCCTCAACGTGGAGCGGCTCGGCCGTATAGCGTAGGCGGCGTATCCTAATGACAGCGCGTATTACTAATATGGCAAATTGGAACTTTTTGCGCGCATTGAAGCGACTCTGTTTCCGCAGCTAAATATACAAAAATGGAAGAAAAAATCACACATGGGATGGGGGTTAATTTGTTATAAGGTAATAACTTCAAAATTGTTTATTGTGTTAGGATTTGTTTCTTTATTTTTTAATATTTGGCTTATTAAGTTTTAGTTCATACGCCTTGGGTTAATACGGTTAATGTTAGCAGCTGTTCAATACAACAATTCTAAATGTGTGTATGTGTGTGTGTATGTATGCATGTGTTTGTTTTTGGTTTGTGGGGTTAAAACACCTTACGCGAACACAGCTTGCGTTACAAAAGTATTAGGCGACTGTATGTCTGTGTTTAGGTCAGTGTGAGTGTGTGTTTGTGAGACTTAGTCTAGGCATTTACATATGTCAAGTTAATCTTAAGCTGTTAGTGGCGTGCTATTATGTGCATTTAACATACTTATGTCGAGAGAGAGGGAGAAAGAGAGTTAAATTCACCACAATGTCAGTGTACGGGAAGTGCCAGTTTAAGTTTGAGTTTGTGTTTGTGTGGGTGCTGTTGGTGTTGGTGTTGGTGCTAATATGTCAAAAGCAAAAGCAAATAAACAAATACAACAGGATTGAAATGAACTCAAAAAGAAAAAGAAGTGTGGTGTAGTAAGCGAAACTGTTAAATCCGTGAGCAAGTGAAAGAGAGCGCATGCGGAACGCGCTCAGGGACAAAACACACACACAGACACAAATATTGATATATGTACATTGATTATAAACATACACATATATAGTGGATAAATATATATAGATATAGAATTTAACAATGGCATTTTTAAGTGTATATATACTGTATAGGTAACTAATTGTTTTATATATGGTTTTGCGCATTTTGACTTTGGTTTACTCACAAGGGAGTCTCCACAACACCGACTTATAGACACACATCTTATAAGGGCGTTGAGACTCTGACAATATAGAGAACATGACACACAAAACAAAACGTGTATATCAAATCATACAGAGGAGAAAATTAAAAACAAAACAAAAAACATCGTCAGTGAATCGGTAAGCGTAATTGTTTCTTTTTTTTATTTTGTAATTTTGAGGTTTTTTCATATATTATCTATGTGGTATATGTGGTGTATGTATGCATATGCTCAGATGAGTACGTAACAGTTACATTTAACGTAAACAAAAGTCATGCAAAGCAACAGGGAGACAGGGAGAGAACGATAGAGATGGAGGTAGAAGAGACATAAAGAGAGCCAAAACTACAACAGCATTATGATTAGTGATATACAACATACATATTTAATAATACTACATGGCTACGAGAATACAAACGGCAAAAGCGTTTTTATTTTTTACTATTTGCAAAAAAACCAATAGACCCAAATATACAAATAAATACTACGTTCTATAAAGGTGCATATAATACAAACAGTCTTTTTATATTGAAAATAAGACTAAAAACAGCTAAAAATAAATAATTCATAAATATTAAAAGTGTAAGAATAAATGTTACAAACTAAATAAAAGTGTGCGCTCCATTTACCACAGGGCTGGCAATTACAATATCAAAGTGAGGTGAGGTGGGAAGAGTTGAGTTGAGTTGAGGTGTGGTGAATGCGCCCTGATACATGGCTACAATATTGTTACTGTGCTTTAGTGAAATGAATGGAATTGAAATATGAGCTATGAACAGAATGTGTGTGTGTGTCGGCGCCGCTGCCATAGTTAAGTGTGCGTGTGTATGTGTGTATATGTGTGTAATGCACTAATCAAATACAACTAAAAGCGCTTTTGGTTGAGAGTTTCAAAAAGTAATAGGGAATGCGTTATAGAACTAAATTGATACGTGAACAAATTGATAAAACAAAACAAAGGAAAAACCTGCCTGCACTGATGAATACAATAAATGTTTAGCATTTGCATTTGCCGCACTCTCATAATTATCGTTATCGTTATCGATGCTCAAATGCTGCCGCGTCTTGAAAGATGTTGTTGAACGCTGTTGTTGTTGCTGCTGTTGTTCCTGCTGCTGCTGCTGTTCGAACTGCAACTGTTGCTGCTGTTGATAGTATACTGTAGCCGTTAATGTCATGGACGAGGCTGTATTGCAGGTAGAATTGGATGTCGTTGTTGTATCCTGTCGTCGTTGTTGTTGTTGTAGTTGCTGCTGTTGCTGCTGCTGTTTGTCCGGCTCAGGCGCAAAATAATTGCTACTGCTGCTGGTGGTGGCAACATCACGTAGTCGGTTCGATGAATATGAACTCTGCGGCGCACTGCAGTATATGTAGGAGGAGGATGTACCACAACTGCTACCAGCGTTGCCACTGTTCAGTCGATTATAGCGGAATTCTGGTTGATGTTGTCGGCTGGAGCTAGGACCGTTGGCGTTACTGTTACCAATGGCTGCACCGGTGCCAGGATAATGTGCAGTCCTAGCATTGGAATGCAAGTGCTGCATATACGTCATCTCGTTCATTAGAACCTAATTATCGCGTCATTTGTTTGTCGATTTCGTTTTCAGATTGAGCGTGACAGAGAGACAGAAAGAGAGAGAGAGAGGAGAGGGAGAGAGCGCGGAATTGGTAAAGTGCAGGCAGCGTGTATGTTGGGCAGGTCAAAACGCAAAGAAAATGAAGAATTGTAAATATGTTAAAGGTAATAAATCAAATGAAGAAAACCAGACAATAAACATTAAATTAAAATTATAAATATGTCTATGTATATGTATATATATTGTATGCCTAACTATGCTTAATCTAAAGACATTGTATAAGAGTGTAAACGCGCCTAACCTACGCTTTATATGCACCTTCTTAAATGCTCCTCACTTAACAAATAGCAGAACACATAGACATAAGAGGGGGGGTGACGCACACATGCAGTATAAGAGTATACCACGAATGTATACGAGGTGAATTTGTTGGGAGTTAATGTTAGACGGAGTTGGCATGCATTCGCTTTGTGGCTGCGGCGTCTGCAGATGCTGCTACTGCTGTTATCGTTATCGTTATCGATATACATAGAGATGTTAATTAATATCGCAATCGCAATGCACACGCACAGGGACAATGACAACGAATACATACATAGATAAACAAGCAAATATATATATGTACGTACATATGTTGCACTTATTATAAATTAAATTAAATACTAGAATAACGCACATGAGACAATATATATGTAAATGGAATAAAATGCAGCTGCATTCAATCAAAAAGAAAAAAACGACAACAAGCCAAAACGATTACGATAACACATAAAAAAAACATTGGTGTTAATTGAATCGAATTGATATCGAAACACAATGCAAATACATATACATAAGATATATATATATATATATCTATATATATAACAGACAAAATGCAACAAAATGTGATTTTATTGTTGGTTTGTATAATTTGTTGTTGTTTATTAATAGTTTTTAATAGTTTGAATCGTTTGGCTGCTGTTGTAGTTGTTACATTAGAATTGGGGGGTTTTGGGTTAGTCCAGTAATAATTCGTTACCAGTGCGATTTCAGTGATGCGACTCATTCTTCTGGACTTGGTCGAAAGGCTGCGCTTGAGGCCATCAATATTTTGCTCGAACAACTATCGGGTTTGTTATCGAGTTATCGACAAAAATTTATTTGTTTGTATTCGTGTTTCGATTTTTGATTTTTTTTTTAAATAAACAATTTTTTTTTTGGTATTTGTTCAATATTTTTCAGTATTTTCAGTATTTTTTGTATATTTAAGTATATGTAAGAAAAAGAAAAAAAGGTTCGTATATAATAAAGTTGAAGAATAACAAGAAAAAATAGGTAAAGAGGATGAAGAAGAATAATGTGCTTAACTTAAATGCAAAAACATAGGATCTATGAATATATATAGTTAAGTATATCAGATATAAAAAGCTTAATAAAACATCGAACGGAATTAGCAGCTGATTTCTATAACTTAAACAGGAAATATAAAAGTACAGTAAACACTCGATAAAATAGAAGTGTGTGCGCTCAGAACTGAATTATAAGACGTATACGATTTAGCTTAGCGAGTGTTGACTGTAGTCGTGTAAGGCGTAGCTAATCCTCTAAGCGGATTATCGATTATCTTATTTAGATATATATAAATTTAAGATATTATTATAGAGTACACAAAATAAAGCAATTATTAGGCTGGGTGTGCGAGAAGTGTGTGAGTCACAGTAGCGCGTGATTGGGGGTGGGGGGTTTGACTGGGTGTATAATAGGGGTTTTTTCTTTTAGAGACAATCGTGTAGGGGGCTCACATAGTGAGGGGGAGGGGAGCCTTAGGTCGTGCTGAATGTGTGGAGCTTAAGTTCTAGATATCGATAGATATATAGATGTATATAGATATATTAAATACTGTTATTAAATAGTGGTTTTTTGGTGTGAGGCTCTCGGAACTGCAACTGGAGTTCTAGACGTTATGGCTAAACATACTGACTAGCATAGTTGTGTAGATAGTATAGTTGTAATAATAGTAATGCCTAGCAGTATCGTGTGTATAGATTCCACATGGACTGGCGCTGCCACAGGCGCCGACACTTACCATTTGATTGAAGAATGGATGTCTTAATACTTCCTTAACGGTGATACGTTGCGCTGGATCAACGACTAGACATTTGCGTATCAGATCTTTGGGATCCTCTGTGGAATACAAATGACGTACTTTAATTTGAATACATTTATCTATTATATAGTGCGGAGAGCTTGACCTGAAATATCGGCCCATTCGGGCGAGGTGAAGCTGTATTTGCCCTCCATTATGTTGCGCAGCATAACCATCTGCTTGCGATGCCAGAACGGGGGACAGCCGACGAGCAGCGTGAACATTATGACGCCGCAGGCCCAACTGGAAAGGATTCGAAATATATTTAAATAGGTGTTTAAGCAGTTGCTATGGTCTCTTCTGCTTACATGTCCACTTCCTGCGAATAGCCTGGCGAGCCCTCGAACATGTTGCACTTGAGCGTCTCCGGTGCCAAGTAGCCCGGCGTGCCACAAAGATCTGTTGAGGGAGAATAGTGTATAACACATTATAGTGCATGCTAGATATATATATATATATATATATATATATATATATATATATACTGTACAGTATAGTTTAGAGTGAGACAAAGAGAGAGAGAGAGAGGCAACTGCCCAAAAATGGATGATGTTTATAAGATTCTTGTATTCACGCCTGAAGCAAGCGTCTTTTGAGTTAAGCTAAACCTACTTAGATCAGCTGAAGATGCACTAGCACATAGTCTACAAGTTGTGCTGATTGTAACACTATACTACATTATTAATGTCATACCTAGTTCAACTGACAATCCTGGAGAACACTTTTCACCTGACATGACTACAACTTGAGCCAGTTACACCTAAACTTAATACTCTACATAGCTCCATCTATCCATCTTGTTCCATATAGAGCATCAAGTTAAGCTAAACACATAAGAGGTTCGGGCACAACAGCTCATGAAATCTATGCAAATTTTGAAGCTGCCTTCTCGAAGCTTGGTCAACGCCTCGATTACATTAAGGATCGGACAACCATTGACAAGAGTTACATTTCCCATAGCTTATCATGTATCCTGAGCCTTGCTGTTGTGGGTCTCCCCTCTCTTAGCCCATGCCAGCATTCGTTCTGTTTCACCTGTAAGTTTCTCGCCCTCGCCCAGCTGCCGGGCGAACCCAAAGTCGGTGATCTTCACATTGTGATTCTCATCGAGCAGTATGTTCTCGGGCTTCAGATCGCGATGAACGATATTCTTGGCGTGTATGTACTCGACACCCTCGAATATCTGGCGCATAATGGTGCGCGTCTTCTTCTCGGAGAGCGTCACCACCGATGTCAGATAGTCAAACAGTTCGCCCTTGGGGCACAGCTCGAAGACGAGAAATACAAATGCATCCGATTCAAATACATCCTGCAAATCGACTGGAATACGAAGAGATGGAACGTGTATTACTAGATCTGTATATATGTATATATATTTGTAGGTTTTTATGTTTACTTATGTAGGGATGCCCTATCACTTGGCGTAGGATTGAGATTTCTTGTCTGGTTGCTTCGAGCATGTGATATGGATTCGTTTCGCCCGCCTCTGTCGTGGCGCCCAGATCGATAATTTTCGCTGCGAACTCTTTGCCCGTCTCCTTCTCAATGCAGCGACGCACCGTCGAGCTGATGCCCCTGCAAAGAAGAGTATCAAAGAGGATCAGAGAGAGTGTAAACGTACATATAGGTATAATCGTATAGTTATATCTGAAGTTCATCTAGCAGAGATGCAAATCACGCATTCCAGAACCCTTTTGCAGTCTTGATTGGAATGCACGCTGCACTAAGATTTGGACTATCTAATTCAGATAAGATCTATTAAACTGCGCATTACAGCCTTACGACATGTTTATTCAGCCAATGGGTTTTGTAATTTGCAAACAGATAGAAGAGGGCGGAGAGACGGGAGAAGACAGACTGTAGAAGATATAGCTGCACAGTCATTGAAGTTCAGTTCAAGGTGCTTTATATACACTTGTCCCAAAAGCGAGTTGAACATATTAACTAGCATTCCTCTCTTCACACACACACGCTCCTCTCTCTCTCCCTCCCTTCCTCTTTCGCTTTGACCGCATTTCAACTTTGTTTTCTAGTTCCTAGTTCTCCAGCTTTCGTCTGTTTCCCATGCATTTTGGAGTATTACGCGACAGTTCACACGTCGCGGCATGTGCCCATTGCAACCGAATGGATCAGGCCACGCCGCTTTGAGTCATAGCTCAACAATTAGGCAACTCGTCAAAAAAGAAAAATTTTATAATGAAATAAACAAAGTTTAGAATTCTGCAAATTCAACAGAAACGGGAAGAACAAGCAACAATTGCATGAAGTAAATAAATAAAAAGAGTTAACTATTAAGTCAGGTCGAAACAGTGAATGCTCTATGCAGATCCTTAGAACTAGATCGAAGGTTGGGACTGAGAGCCAAGTGAACTAGTCAATCAATCAATCAATCAATCATTGAACAAACTGTTAAATTGATTTTCATGATCCGAGTCACAGCTGCTTAGCAAATAAACGAACTGGAACTAGATCAGAAACTTGAGCTGAAAACAGCTTTGAGCTAGGCTTTTGTTAACTAGTCAATCAATCAATCAATCATTGATGAATCTATGATCTACTGTGATTTTAGAGTCTTAAACATATATATCAATACTAGATCATATCTGGAGCTTTCATTCATAATATTAATAGTACTGTTTTATTTTCATAACAAATTTAAGTTGGTTGCGCCACAAACTTTGTATAAGCTTATTATCTTCTTCAATTAAAGATATATATTTATATCTTATGATATATTTATATATATATATATATATATATATATATATATATATATATATATATATATATATATGTGTATATATATGTCTTATAATATACACATATATGTTATGTAGAGATTGATAAGAAAAAAGGATTGTGTATTTAAACTCAAAGCGACTTATGAAAGTTCCAAGCAATTTCTGCTTGAAAACATACAGTTAACAATAGCGAAAGACCACTGTACTGCGCAATTGCAGCGCTGTTTTGCTTCTGCATAGTTTAAAGAAACGGTGCTTAGCGCTCAATATTGAATATAAGTTAGCGTATAAGACTGTATGTGTTTCGTCAAGTTTTGACTCGTATACTTTCTTACCTGCCCAGTATTTCTTTGGGCTCATATTTGGCATAGAACCCCTTGGCCGCATCCTTGTCGGGCAGCAGATCATCTTCCTCGTCTTTGGCCATTAGATCGAGTGAAATTTTGGCGACGTTCTCCGACGGCGCTGTGGCAACTTTTTACTTCTTTTTATTGTTGCTGTTGCTGCTGCTACTGCTGTCGTTGTTGTTGTTGTCAGTTGTAATCCAAATCCGCAGTTATATTGTTAGCGACAGATTTCAATTCCACAATAATCCCCCCACACCGTTCAATCGCACGTTCTTCAGACACTTCCTCCCGCTCTCTTTCGTGCGCGCGGTCTCTCGCTCGCTCTTTGGTATGTTGCTATTTTTATAAACGAAACGAAACGAAACAAATCGACGCGATGCGATGCGATCAAAGCACGAATTGAATCTGTTCCGTTATGTGTCGACTACTTGCGACTGAGTGGCCGCTGCTGCTGCGCCGCTGACTTTTTTCTTTGCTTTACTTTTAATTACCAACAAATCGTTGGCGTTGGCGTCGCTGCTGCGGCTGCGAATGCGAGTGTCGCTTTTGTGCCGGTGTTTTGCAGCTCTGGCTGGTGCTGACTTTGTATAAGAAGAAGCAGTAGCAGCAATTGTTGTTTTTGTTGTTCGATGTATAAGTCAAATGTGGGCTGCTGCGGCTGGTGTTGCTGCTGCTGTTGCCCTCTCATTCCCACTCGTTGGCTCGGTAGCACTCAGCTGTTGTTACGGCTGCCGCTGCGGCTGCTGATTTAATTAATAACGAATGCCAGCTACAACAAATCGATTTAAACAGAACAAAAAACATAAAAAAACCAAAATCAAATCAAATAAAATAGAATTAACATTTTTTCCTCAGTTTTGCGTTTATAAATGATTACACAACGCGTGGCCCAATAAACGGCGACAAATGCGTTCACATGCTTAATTACATGCATTGACACTCACACTCTCTCTTACACAGCCACACACACATACACTCGACCCACCCCCCTGCTGACTGCCTCTCACTCTCTTTCACTCACAATCTTTGCCGTTTGTTTTGATCAGATTAATGCACATTTACTAGCACTGGGACACAACCATCAGAAGAAACCGAACTTAAACGCTGGCTCTGCCACAGCTGCTCTTGCAGACGACGTCGCTGTCGCTACTTTGCTTGCGTGTTTTTGTTGCCGCAGGTGAATTTCATTAAGGCTGTTGTCGCTATTGCTCATTATTTTATTTCATTTTCATTTACTGTGTTTCATTCTTTTTTTTTTTTTCAATTTGGGGGCTCGTTGGCCAACACTAGGGGTCAGCTGCAAATGCAGATTTTAATTCGAGGTTTGCTCTCCTTTTCTAGCGCACACAGCACAACACTATTGGGGCAGCAAGTAAGCAGGCAGGCAGCCAGACAGACGCACTGTCTCCGCCTCTAGCGGGTACATTTCAATGTCAACTAAGGTTAAAAGCAATACTGCTGGCCAGGGGAGTTTGCATTGCACATACACCGGGCGCACGAACAGCTGCTGGCGTGTCGAAACTTAACGGGCATAACTATTTGAGTTGTATTTTGTAATATTAAATAGGCAAAACAAAACCCTGTATTTTGGACACAATCACAATACTACGGAAACATCTACAAGTACCACAAATTAAACAGCTATCGATATCGAGTGCACATGCACCGATGTCGATAGGCATAAGCAAAGCAACTGCTAATTATATCGCATGCATGCGATAGCCAGTCCAAGCGACATTTCATAGCACGACCAGTGTTGCCACTTGGCTGCAGAAAAGCTGTTAAGATTTGAAAACTTGAATTTGAACTTCTTTTTGCATTATTTTTTTCGTTTATTTGACATACATGTATATTTACGTGTTTATATTTTGTTTTTTTTTTTTTCATTCCTTTTTAATGATTGTTTTTGTTTTGTTTTGAATGGAATACAATTGTAAAAAATTAAATAGACGCTAAGGTGGTTTTGTAATAATTACGAGGCAAATGCTTACAAATTTTCTTGTCTTTGAGTGAAGCAGATTGTTTTTTTTTTCTTTTAGGGGGCGAAAGTTGATGAAAAACCATATTGTTTTTAAATTTTTATTTCTTTTTTTTTGTTTTACTTAATGCTTATGGTTTATTAATACTCCACAATGGGGCTTGATGTGGTTGTTAATTACCTGTGGCTCAACCTCGGTGTTTACATTTTTTTTTTTTTAAATCAGTTTTTGTTTCTTTTTTAAAGTACACAATCAAAAGTAAACATATCGTTATATTATATATATATGCATAGAGACGTACTAGAAAAAAAATATATTAATCAAATACAAAATACAAATAGACTTGCCAAAAAAAAATAACGGTTGCTCAGTGCCAAAAATACAATACAATAATATATATATATAGTATTATAGCATTATGTATACATATATATAATATGCATGTATATATCTGACAATATATATGTATATATATATCAAAAAAAAAAAAAAGAATTGTTTTTGCTCTTTTGCAAACGTGATTTAGGCCTACGACTTATAAATAATATCTATGTATATATATACGTATTTTCTTGTTTCTCATATTTCTTCAGGATGTGGAACGAAACGGAGTGTGGAACACGCTTCAGTTCGCTTCTGGGTTTCAGTACAATAAATCAGTTTTCTGAGCGCCTTCGCTATAAACAATGCCGCCCGCTGTTAGAAAGTCATCGACATCATCTGCTCCAGCCGCATCCTTGGCATCCTTGACTCCACTCTGGTCGTCAGCATCCTTCAGCAGGCCCTCGCTAATGCCCAAAATGCTACCGTTGCCATTGCCATTGAAGCTATTATTGCTGCCACCGTTTGTGGCAACTGCGCTAGGAGAGCGCGTTACGCCCAACTGAAACAAACTATCCATGGGCGACGCCTTGAGGGGGGTGTAAAAGCCCAAAGCTGTAGAGCCTGAAATTGAGAAATCGATTAATCCAAATTGAATAAACATAAGAAGTCAAAACGATTAATCGATTTAGTAGGCGAATGTGTGAATCAGTGTTGCATAATGTGCAAATTAAAATGAAACAAATTTCAAAGTGAATGTGTGTGTGTGCGTGAGTATGTGAGTGTGTTTTCAATTGAGGTTAGTTACCTTAGGAGATTAATATGAATTGGCGATAGGTTTAGTTTTTTGTTTTTGGTTTTGTTAGGCTTCAGTTCTGAGTTAGCCAACACCGTTAAAAGGTAGTTGTTGTTGCTATAGTTGTTGTTGTGATTGTTAGTGCTGCCAGTGTTGTCAACGGAACAAACGACAGGCAGCGCTCCAGCGTGCGAGCGAGAGCGTGAGAGTGCGAGAGGGAGAGACGTTGCTTTGCACCTGGTTTTGCCGCCTCTTTTGTTATTCATTTCATTTTAAGTTTTCTTTATAATTTCGACTTGTATGTATATTATGATTATTGTTTGTATTATTATAATAGATATTATTTTTAAGTATTCTGTTATTAGTTTTAAATAATATCTGCAAAAGAAATTAGTAAAACACAAGAGAGGGAGAGAGAAATAGAGAGTGTGTAAGTGAGTGAGTGAGCGAGGGAAGAGAAAAACAAAAAATTGTTTAAATAAAACATTAGTTATATATAGATATAGTTATATATTATAGAGCTATACGAAAGGTGCCAAACAGCTGTTAGTATTATACATAGATGTGACTTAAGTAAGTTATTTGTGCTACAGCCAACTTAATGCATATGCTATTTTATTTCAGTGTTGCCACATCGTTGAAGTGTTGTAGATATTGATGAAACAGTGAAATGAAAACATTTAGTTAATTGGAAGGTATAGCATTATAATTAGCAGTACCAACAACGCACCAGGCAGATAAAGGTTGGGAGTCGTAACGAGTAATAGGGAATACGGAGTAGCAGAGTAGTGGCAAGGCCTAACAGGCAGAGGAAGTGCTTAGGGAAGGCAAGTTAACTATAAGGAGTAACGAGTAACGAGTATCGGGTAATGAGTAGCGAGAAGTGAGACAACGGACTATGCTTAGTGTGTGTATACATTAAAGGACTTAAGCGAGAGGATTAAGAATCAGGGCCTCTACCTTTGCGAGTGACGAGTAAGTACACATGAGGCTAGCCGAGTAACGAATAGCGCGTAACGAGTAGCGTGTAACGAATGTTTAGTGAGCAACTTAGGACTACCCTTGGCACATACATTTATATTTTAGCCAATCAGCAACCACTGGCATTTAAGGAATTTGGGTAAGGGCTACTAAGTGTACAAGGGTCTGAGCCACAACCAGAACGCGTAGCGAGTAACGAGCAGCGAGTTACAACCAACGACACAAATTGTGACTTTGTGAAATACATTTAAACCAAGATGGACGTTTGAGTAAGTTTACAACTGGGAAGTAGCGAGTAAAAGTTGTAACAAGTAACGAGCAACGATTAGCGAGTGAAGAGATAACGAGCTGCACTTGCCGCGTATCGTATCTATCGATTCACCAAATATATACAGACATTTAAAGGAAATGGGATTGGATCTGGGCCACAAGCATAGCGAGTGACAATTCGTCATGATTTAACCAATTGGTGACCTCAGGAGTAAGGCGGGATAAGTGAGTATATATTATATGTCCAAAACCGCATTGGAATTGGGTCTGGGCCACAACCATAGCGAGCAGCGAGTGTGAAGGAGCCGGGCTTACAACGAATACAAATAAAAAGCTTGAGTTTGCCTACGTTTCGCAAGAGACAGGATGGAACGTAGAGCAGAGTGTTTAGACATAGTAGAGCGTGTTGCCTGGAATGCGGGCCTGCAGCAGGGCGTTGGATGCGTTGGGTAGCGCTAGCGACGACGACGACGACGACGACGACGACGAAATTGACGACGTGGATGACGCCGACAGGTTGTGGGTGGCTAAAGGCAGGCTGGCGCGACGGCGACTCAAGCAACTTCCATAGCCGCAGGCAGTTGTTGTTGACGTCGTCGTTGTTATCGTTGTTGTTAAAGTATGTTTGGTATATTTACTCTGCAGCTGTTGCTGTTGCAGTTGCAGTTGCAATTGCGGCTTGGCGGCATGCGAGAAGGAGGCAGCTTTGCGCTTCGCCAGCTGTGTTGCAGGAGGCACTGCTTCATTTTGCAGAAAGCAGGCATATTGCGGCTTCAATAGAACCGAAGGTCTACGACGTTGTTGTGGTTGTTGTTGTTGCTGCTGCTGCTGTTTCTGCGGCGGCGGCTGCTGTTGTTGATGGTCCATTAGCTGTGGCTGTGGCTGTGCCTGTGGTTGAGGCTGTTGCAAGATAATACCCCTCCCTATACTTGGGTAATCTGCAAATATGCGTGATCCTTAAATAGAAAGCCTAACAGCTGATGCTGTGTATGTGGTGCACGGGTCAAGGGTCATAGTTGGGCTAGGGGCTGCGCGGGGCGATAACTAGAGATAGCTAGATAGTTGGGTGTGGGGTGAGGTGTCTGGCTGCTTGAGTAGCTCAACGTAAGTGCGCAACACCCACCTGAAGAGCTGAATTAGTTTTCGTAATTTTTTGAGCAGCTGCCGGCCAGGTGGCAACGCCAATTGCCAGCAGCAACGTGCAGCCCTGGCATGACCTAGACAGCAGTCCCTAGACATGCTAGTTGAATTGCAGTTAGCGGCAATCGCTATGTTAACTGTAACAGTGGCCTTTTCTGTAAAGTGCAGAGATATGTTGTTGTTGTTGCTGTTGTCGTTGTAGTCAGCAAGCATGCATATGCAATTGGATCGTATGCGTGCGTACGTGTGTGTGTACGTGTAGGTGTGGTGAGTATGCTATAACAGGATGCTGAGTGCGTGTGAGAGAGTGTGTTAATGTTTATATTGATGCCTATCAATTTTAGCCCCCCGCATAGATGGCGCCAATAAAACGTGTTAAAACTCAAGAGCACAGTACTACGACAAAGACAGTTATATATATATATATATTTATATATATAGACACAGAACAAAGGCAAAGATAGAGTGAGAGAGACAGAGACAAAGAGTGATAGAGATAGATAGACAGAGAGAGTTGCGGCTCTTGGTAGACATGCACATACACACACTCATGTATAAATATATCTATCCATGTGCATGTGTATGTTTGAATATAATATATATATGACAGGGTTGCCACACTCACCTAATGGTAAATTCCCCAGCATTGCGCTGGTCGCCGACGTTTTATGTGACGTCGAGGATGTAGTCGATGCTGTCGGAAGCTCTATTATCTCATCAACTGTTACATGATGATGTTGTTGTTGCTGCTGTTGCTGCTGCTGTTGTTGCTGCTGATGCTGCAAGCGTAGATGCTCCTCATAGAACAGCTGATGATGCTTGGTCGCATTACCGTAGGGATCGGCATACGGCGGATCATCAACGGTTTGCGACGCCTCGGAGGGATATTCAAACGTTGAAGTTAACGTATCGTTAAACTGTACGCGGAACTGTAAAAGCAAAGAAACTGTCAGTTATATAATAACGGTAAGTTATGCATGTGTGCATGTATGTAGGTATTGATGTATGTATGTATGGATGTATGGATGTATGGATGTATGGATGTATGGATGTATGCATGCATGTATTTATGTATGTATGTATGCTGATATCTGTCCCATTGATGAAACGCACCCAAACCCCAGCCTACTTAAATTTCTTCCCTTGTCCCCCAACCGGCCCCCCTCTATACAGAGAGAACCCCAACAAAATCCACTTTTAATGCATTTTGATTAATAGCGACGGCACAAATAAATAAATAAGTATATGATAACGCAACAAGGAAATGAAAAAAAGAAACATAAATAAAATCAACAACAATCAAACTAGTTTGAATAGTTTAAGCTGCAAGTAGTCGTCAGCTGAAATACCCTAGCAAAGACTTTTGAAAGACTTTATATAAAACTTTTGATAATTTCAGATTCTTTTCTGGGAATTAACGCCCATAAGATTTCGCTGCTAATCAAAAATATACAGATAAGTTTTTTTTTATCAAAAATATTCTCTCTTCCATCCTGGTTTTCACTCTTCGCTCATCTAGTCAAATATCTTCTCAGCTGTTAGACTCTGCAGCTAACATAATAGATTAACAGCATGTTAACTGCGTTAATGGCATGTTAACAATGTATAATCTACAGCTTACATTTCTAGCACGGCTTCTTCCACTCGCCTCTATCGCTGCTGCTGACGCTGGAGATGAGCGTGTCGGAGAGCAAAGCATGAAAACGATAAACAAACAACAACAAAAGGGAAATGAAAGTGGCTCAAGTAAGTTTTCTTACGCTTTTTTCTGCCCTTAATACAAGAAGCGAGGAAAACAACAACAATTCTGACAATAGGAAAACAACAAAAATATAAAAATAACACAAAAGGAAATCTTTACAAAACAAAATAAAAAATTTTAAATAAAATAAATAAAACACTGACCCCGTACGCTTTAAGAAATAATTGCTGTTAATTGTTTTGCATCAGTTTTTTTTGTCAGCGATTAAAAGCTAAACGAAAGTGAAATTAAGGCCAATATGCTGAAGCGATTTAAATATAAAAAAGAGAAGACGTAGATTATCACAAATTGATAAATTTAGTACAGTGAAAGCCGGCTTAAGTGCACAGCCAACAGTTAGGCGATGTTCTATTTGCAAAATTATCAAATATAAAAATTCTTTTCGATTTCTTTATAATTGTATCTATTTTTTTTCTAAAGTTTTAACTGATTTATAGTGCTTTCCATTAATTTTTACCATAATACCCTATATAAAAACAAATTGATTTGATATACGATAAGACTCTGTTTTCATTACAATGCGACAGAATCTTCAATCATAAAAAAAAAAAAAAAAAAAAACAAAAATAGAGTATAGACTTCGTTACAATTAATTGGTAGCCCACACACTGTACAACAAAACTAATCTTATCTTATCCTTGCCAAACAAAAACACAAAAAACAAAAAAAGAACCCATGCAATCAGAAAATACTCAAGTTTTTTGGTGAGTGTGGAATTAGTCATGCCTTACGGACTAGCTGTAATTGTAGGTACTATTATTTACGTATGTATGTTTGTGCATATATATGTATGTATTAGTCATGAAGAGGCAATGATTGGCTGTATGTATGGGGGAATGACTGGAATGAAATGCATTTCCGCATATATGTATGTATGCATGGTGATGGTGGGTGTGAGGGGACGGGTTCCCATGACGTCTGGTTATACTCACCGATGAATCTTTGGGTTTCTGTCGTATGCTGGACTTGCCGTCGATCACAATATTCGCATTCTCGAACTCCACATCGCAGGGCGAAGGCGGACACATGGAATAATCATCGTAGTCCGTGTCTGTCGATGTCTCCACCGAAAGGTCGCCCAATAACACGAAGCCCGGTTCATTTGGCTGGAAAGTGAAAATTAACGAAAAGTTAAAATAAAATCTCTTTAAAGCTCAGTTTGTAGATTGGAAAAAAGAGGAAGAAAGGAGGTTGAGTTATTTCGAGGCCGATATCGGTTGCTCTGAATCACAGCTGTCCCATTTCTCGCCATGTCAGACGCAGAACCTAATGGACGGACCATACATATACCAAACAAGAGATAATAAAGTTCAGGCAGAGATAACAAAAAAAAAATACATGTATGTATAAATATATATGTATATATACGCAAGTATATATTTACGTACATACATAAATACATAAAGAGTCCAACAAGAACTACGACAGCAACAAACATAACAAGAACAACAGGAGGCATAAAGCAAAAGCGACCAGAATTGAACGTCAAAAAAGAATTGACAAAATTGAGTTCAGAGCGGCATAAAAACGGGTTTACTATTGTCAGTAGCAAGAGCGAAAGAGCGGGCGCTTGTTTTGCTCACGAAAGGCAGAGAGGGAGCGCAATAGGCAGTGAGAGCAGGCGGCTTTGTGTTGAGCAGAGTACTTTTATTCAACACAGCTGCCATCAGAAACAGCTGTGCAAGCCAATGCGCCCCGCAGAGCTCCCCCCTGACACGACCTCTTGCAACACCAACTCACCACAACACCAAAGAGCTTCAACATGCGCTCCGCTCGTTCAATGCTCTCCTTCATAAGTTATAATATATCTTTGTCTGCTTTAGCCTATGTACATACATACATATGTATATTTGTATATACATACATGTACATGTATATGCATGTATAAATGAACGTAGCAGCAGGAAGCAAAGAACAAATGAAGAAATATCGTAATATGTGTATGCATACATATGAATGTATGTATTTTGTACATATGCATACATAGGTGTATGTGTGTATGTGCCAGAACGGGTTTTTACAATGCAATCGCAGGCAATAAGAGGAAGAATTTGCCAATCGCAGCAGCGCATCCAACACTTTTTTAATGTTAAATAAAATAAAGCGTCTGGAGCTCACACCCATTTGGCAATATGTATGAATGTGTGCGCATGCTTGGAAATTGATCAACCCATTTGCATAATTCGCAATTTATTGAACACTGTGTTGGGCACTTCTGAGCAATTTCCATGACGCGCGCCACTCAGAGGTGAAGCTTGAAAAGCTCAGACAACAGCGTTGCGCCTTCACTTGGGGTGCGCATCACTCTTGAACATTCAGAAGGTCACTCGGAAAGCCGCGTTTTCGCGTCACGCGTAGTACACTCGCACATGCATATATATGTACATATGTATGTAACTACATACATATGTATGCACATATAAGGAATTGAATTTCAGATGCTTCCTATACAATTTTCAACATTGAAGCTAGAGTTGGGAGCTTGTCGTGCTTTCTTGTGATGAGAATTTTTTTCCAAAGATATGTATGTCGTTAAACGAAATCAAAGCATAACAAATATAAAATAGCTAAATTTTTTTTAAAATCAACTTATAAAATGTATACACATTTCGTGTACAAATTAACACGCTCCCATCTCTAGTTTGAATTTAAACTGCTTGTTAGACAACAGGATTCGCTTGATGTGACATTTTACAGTTTAGCTTTCAATGGAAGCGCGAAACAGTGTTTTGACATTCTTTACATTTTGTTGCTATTGTTGAACTTTCCAAAATGCGCATGATCTTCCATGCTCTCTCGCTCGCTGTCGTACTCTTTCTCTCTTTCGCGGCCGCGGTCGCTCTTGCTCACTCTCTCTCTTTCTGTCTCTCACTCTCTGTTGGTGGGCGCTTTGTTTCGCATTTGTTTATATGGCAAGCGAAAAGCACAAGCCACAAACAAAAACTGTCTGTGTATTGGGGGCCTTGTTAAGCCAAGTCTGTGTTCGTGCGAATGTAAGTCTGTGTGTATGTGCAAGGGGACTTGCAAAGATTAAGAAGAAATATAACTCATACAGAAAATAAGCATGAATAATGCGCAACGGCGCCGCATTCCAAGCATAGCTGGGCAGCACCAGTGTGTGTGTATATGGGGGAGGAAGGGGGATTGCTTCGATTGCTGATAAGCAATAGCAAACAGCTGTCTAGGCCACCGCAACGGGGCGTGGTGGGATTGTGTGTTGGTTACTCACCTTTGGCAATTCTCGTTTACGCCTGTAGATCACAACATCGCTTTCAATATAATCGGGCACCTCCTTGCTGCTCTTGGAAAAATTGAACACCATGGAGGTGTTGTTGTCCGCATGGGAGCTGCTGCCTACGCCGCTACTGCCATTGGCGCCACCTGTTGGCTGACGGCGCTTGCGTAGCGGCCAAATGGGCGAAATGCCGCTGCCCGCTGCGTCCGTTTCGCTGCCATCCTTGGTGTTTATCACGGTATCCAGACTAGTAGCTGCGGCGGTGCCGACGGCGGCAGCTAAATCTGCAGCCAATGCTGTTGATTTTTTCATTTCATTAATGCGATTCTTTTCAATCTCGCGACTGGTCAGCGGCGTACCGCATCCGGAACTAGAGCTTGAATTATTCAGCAACGGCCTGATGACACCAATTTGCTTCGTTGTTGTTGTTGTTGTTGTAGCTGCAGCAGATTCACTGTTATCGCTTCTGCGTTGTGGAAGCTTTCGACTACTGGAACTAGTGCTGGAAGCGTGCGCGTTCTCTTGCAAGGCGGCAGCAAATGAACGCTGGGCGCTGCCGCCAACGCCTCCTGCTTCATCCAGCGGCTGCGCTGCCGTCGGCGCCGCTGCTGTTAACTTATCGCCATTGCAAACATCGTCGCCGTCAACTTCAGCCTCAGCTGTTTCTGCTACGTCGCCGTCGTCGACGTCATTTTCGTTGCCTTCGTCGTTCTCTTCGTCTCTACTGTCATCGTCGTCGGGCTCGTCGGTTGCTGCCTGCGTGCGCTGCTGATCGCTGACTAAGCGCTGATTGCTGCCACCCGCGCCCGCCCCTACGACGGCCTCTGACTGCGCTGTCGCTGAGCTTTCCAAGTGAATGCGTTCCAGCATTTTGCTTATGTTTGTCACAGGCGAATCGTAGGCAGCGCAGCTGGCTTCCAGCTGCCTGGGTATAATGTCTGGAACGACGGCGCTTGCGACTCGCTGCTTGGGTGTCGAGGCAGCAAATCCAGCTCCTGTTGACGGTGTTGCGGCGCTGTCCCGTTTGATGCCGCCGAGAGCACTGCTGCTCGGCGGCTTCTGTTCCTTGATGATCGACTTGTAGCTGGCTACTTTGCTGGCAACGCCGCCGACACCATTGCTGCGCTGAGTAGCGCGTGGTCGCCGGTTGGCGCTCGCCTCGAACATCTTCAGGGTCTGTTTGACCAAGTCCGGTGGAGGACGTTCTGTGTCATCGATGATGGAAGTCAGACGCTTTGGCGGTGTTGCGTCGGTGCCGCTGTGCAGTCGCTCGCGTGCATTATGAATCTTATCTTCGATGCTGACGCAGGTGGGCGTGGCGGGGGCAGTGACGGTAGCTGTAGGTGTAGCTGTAGCTGTGCCTGTTCCAGTGACAGTAGCAGACGTAGCCGTAGCCGCAGTGACTACGCTGCTGTTAACCGCAGCCGCTGCCTGATAACTGGCGCGTTGCGTATTCCAAGGCGACTTCTCGCAGAGCAGCGCTTCGACAGAGCGAGCGCGTTTCATAACCTCGTTGCCGCGCTTAAAATGACGCGAGCGCAGCCCATTGCCGTTAAGCGGCGTCGGCTGTGTTGACTGTTGCTCCTGTGCCACCTGTTGTTGCTGCTGCTGTTGGCGTAGCTGCTGTTGTTGATGCAAGACATTGACGCTTTTGATGTAGCCGCTGCTGCTCGCTGGCTTGGCGCTTAGTATAGGCGGCGCTGCAGTGCTGCGTGTTACGTTGACGTTGACTGCAGCGGTAACAGCGACTGTGTCGCTGCTTACTTGCTGCTGCTGCTGCTGTTGCTCCTCATCGACGTCGTCGTCGTTGCGATCGAGCAGCGTATTGAGGCTGGTGGAGCGCTGCAGTCGCTGCTTTTGGCTCTGTTGGCGTGACTCGCAGCGCAGGGCTAGATTTAAATAGCGGCAGCGCAGCTTGGAGACAATGCCGGGACCATAACTGAATTCCTCATTGTGATCGACGCTATCCAAAAGCGTTGGCAGCGCACTGCCGCCAACGTCCAAGTCGGCATCGGCGCTCTTTAAATGCAGCTGTTGTAGCTGCTGCGGCTGCTGTTGATGATGTTGATGATGATGATGATGATGGCGCTGTTGGCCATTTTGTGTGGTTGTCTTTTTCATTTCTTGCATGGCGACCATTGTCGTTTTTACCGCTACTTTTGTGGGCGACGCGGCCGTTTGGCGTTCCAATTGTTGATATTGTTGCTGTTGCTGCTGCTGTTGATTTTTAATGAACTTGTTGCTCTGCAATTTATCGGATATTTTCGTTTTACAATTTTTATCAATTATTATTGGCGTACTATTGCTAAAATTAAGTAGCGCTGCTTCAGCAACGCTCTGGCCTGGTTTGCATTTCGTTTGCAACTGATTTGCTGACGACGACGAAGTCGCCGTTGTTGCTGTCGTTTGTTTCACATTTGCGCTGCCGCTGCCGCTGCCGCTGCCACCGCTGCCGTTATTGCTGCTGCCTATTGCTGTTAATGCTCCAGTTGTCGCTGTGCCAGTTTCAACTTCACCAGAGCGCCCGCTCGTGTACGCCATGCCAGCGTTATTCACCTCAACGTCACGCTCTCCGCACGCTCGCTCGCGCTCTCTCTCACGCTCTCTGGCATCCAAATTTAGAATCTCTTCTTGCTCCTTGCCAGTTGATTGACTTCTTGTGTTGAATAAACTTGATCGCTGCTTTGGTATTGGTGTTGCTGCTGCTGTCGCTGCTGATGCTGCCGTTTCGGCTGAAAAGGCCGTGGCTAAGTCTTTGCCTTGTGTACTTTGGGCTGCTGCTGCTGCTGCTTCATCTGCTGGAAGCGTCTGATGACCTCCACTTCCAATAAAACATTTCTCAGACTTTTCCTCTGTTGTTGGTGAAGTCTTAAATGCTGCTGCTTGTTGCTGCTGCTGCTGTTGTTGTTGGTATGTTTGGCTTACATTTCGTTTCACATGCTGCTGTTGACTAGATGTTGTTGTTGCGGCTGCGCTGGTTTCAGTTGCACCTGAATCTGCAATAAAATTGGCCATAAAACGAAAAATCAAATTGATGACAAATTCAAAAAACTAAAAATGAAAAAATAGTAGACATTTCTTTTATTTGTGACTAACGGACGATCGGTTGCGTTGACTTTTAGTTCAATTATCAATTGATAACATTCGATAAGAACAGGTACACAGCAATACACGTTTGGGCAGTCAAGGCGAGTGGGCACGACTAGCCATTACCCTGTACTGAGCTACAGGACACAAACTGGATGCTTGTAGTAGCGTGTGCCAGACTAGCTGATACCCTGCAAGTCACTGCAGATGTTTAAGCTAGAGCACTTTAGTGTAGGGTGGTCGACTAGCAGTTACTAGCAGTGTGCCCGACCTTATACCCAATGTGCATCAATCGAATGTGCTCGACTAACTGTTACCCTGCATTGCGCTGGTAAGTAAACGTTAGACTGCTCTGGAGTATGCCTGGCTACCTTATACCCTGTATCGAGCTGATTGATGTGAGCGTTTTTCTGACCTGACTAGCATTTATCTTGTAATGAGCTACAGGTGGTAAAATATCGATACACGATTTCCTTCGACATAGATAAATATCGATTTATTTTAAATATATCGAAAGTATGGTATATGATTTGAGCTGTTTGCTTACCATCAGGATCAGTTATTAATGCTGATCCTAAATATAGTATATACATACTTATCGATCGATATATCGATACTTCTTTCACTCAATTCCCAGAAAAAAGAAACACATTTTCAGTCAATTCGTCGCACATTTTCCGAGGAATTGCGGATATTAAAACAGGCATAGCTGCAATTGATATCGATAACCGATTACTCACAATAGTTAAAACAGTTGTGTATGTGTGCGTTCTGGACTGTTGATATTCACAGGTGAAATAACATCGAGCCAAGCGAACAGCTTTCAATAATTATACTTTCATTTCTTTATCAGCTCAACTTATTTACGTGGCTAATTATATACCCCAGCTGCAAAGCCAATTGCAATCTTACATCTCCTATATATAGAGATATTGATATGGATATGGGTATGTCTCTATATATACATGCAGACATACATACACATTTATGCCATTGCAGCTGGGGCTATTGCCACATTCAGCACATTTGCGATTTCATGAATCGATATCGATACCTCGAATTTGTTTTTCTTTTTCTACATTTGTTCCCGAACGAAACGTCTTCAATTACAGAAAGTCATATATATATATTTAGTCATTATATATGTATATAATGTAAACCAGACTTTTAGTTTATTTTCATATTTGAATTTCTAGACATGATTATACTCGTTCACGAACTACGAAGAGTATATTGGTTTTCTGCACTGTGAGACGTCCGATGAAGTGTTAGCATTTTTCCAATCGGCATATATAATATCTGGTATCAGAGAAACCCTATTAGTCTGTTAGTCAAACCGTATAATTGAGTTACTGATTATCCAATAATCATATAACATATGGTTTTTAAGAAAATAACTATATATTTTCACAAGTTTTGGAGCTAGAGCTTCAGAATTTGACAATTAACTCACTGGACTTACGCCCTATTGAGGTTTACCAATAATTTTGTAACTGTTTTTGGCCCGCGACATATATATATATTAGTCCTTTTGAAGAGGAGCATTACTTCAGTTGCTATACAGATCAAGATATATCCGAATAAAGTCGATTTTAACTTTGTCGGAGAGAAAAGATTTTGAAATCTATTTGGTAGGCTATATAAATTTATATATATCTATATATAGCTTACGCTAAAAGTCAGGTTAAGCGCCTGACGTGCTTGAACTCACCTGCGGGTTCAGTGAAAGCCGCACAACTGCCATCAGCTGTTGGGGCCGCTGAGGTGGGGGAGTTGGTGGCGGCGGCGTTTGTTCGTGCCACATTTGTTTTGCGGCGCTGTATCAAATCCTTTTTCCATTGCGGCATATCCGGCAGGAAGCCCGAAGGAGTCGTTGCCGGTGACATGGCCTCAGCTCCAGTTCCAGCTCCAGCTCCAGTTCCGCTGCCAGCTCCGGCTGCGACTCCGACGTCGGCAGCTAAATGCAATGTAGGTCGCTTCGGTGGCTCCAGCGAAGACATTTTTGGCTAAATTTAACGCTGCAATTGGCATTCTGTGTGTTAGTGCATCGCATCAGCCAACGGACTCGCGCAGTGATTCAAATAGTTAAATCAAAAATAAAAACAATAATATAAAATATCCCGTTGCTCGTTGCCCGCTGCCCATTGACCGCTCACAGAGACGTCTCGACCCAAGCGCTCAGCTCGACAAACTGAAGCGCGGCTCCGACAACGCCAACTGCAATGCATCCCACATTCCGCTACCAAAGTGCGGGCCTAAGCGAAGTATTAACTCAATTGACCCAGCTGATACCCTAAACTAAACTGTGACCAACACGACTCAGCTAGGGCTCTGGAGGCAGCTACAAAATCTAGCGTAGTTCGAATTATCTAAACTTATAAATTAATGCAAAATATTTATACAATTTGTATGAAAAAAACAAATGTAAAATAATATTGTTATATATAAAGCTTTTCTATAAAAAATATATATTTTTATAACAAAAAATAATGATACTTATATTTTTAATTTTAATTTTTATATTCAAGCTAATTTTTAATCAAAACTCAATTTTTCTGCCACTTTATTATTCACTATTATTATCTATATATGACAATTTCAAAGCATCCTGTTTTATTTAATTAATTGAATAGGTGATTTTCATTTTTTCAATATGGTGTCATTTAAAAAATTCTTTAATTTTTTCTCACAATTTTATTTTGTTCTTGGGTAGCGCATGTATAAGTCGACTTGACCTGGTATGCTTCGCTCTTTGCATTTTGCGTTAATTGGATTAACTGTATTTGTTTTCTTTTTCAATAAAAGCAAAGTAAAAAAAACGAAAGAAACCTCAATATTTGTTTATTGTGTAAAAAATAAATCAAGAATAATTAAAAAAATAAAGGGTGAAGAAGCAGATCACAAATGATGAATATGCTAAATATATGAATATATAAAAATGCAAGTGAATTACTTTTCATTTCGTTTCGCTTCATTTTTTGGCTTTGATTTTCTACTATTCGCGCGATCGCTCCTTTTGTAAGAGCGTAAGAGCGAGGGGAAATGATAATGGGTGAGCGAGTGAGAGCGAGACAGAGAGAAAGAGAGTGCGGCAAGTGTCAAATTGAGCTCAGCTTAAATCATAGTTTTTCATATTTGCCTCTTACTTTTGCATGTGTATGTGTATGTTAGTGTATGTGTGAACATGTGTATCTGTGTATAACTGTCGTGCGTATGTGTGTGCGTGCAAGGGTGCAGAGCGCAGGAGTGGAGCAGGGGCTGCAAATCGCAGACGAAGCATAAAATAAACAAGCGGCAGCGGCGACGCTGCGGGCTGTGCATATTATCGATTTTTACAAGCTGCAAGAACTTTTGAGCTACACACACACACACACACACATCGAGTTAAATGCCTGCATACATACATCAATAGATATGTATGTATGTGTGAAACAACTTTTGCAGACTGGCGGCGGGTTGAATAGAAAGCGTCTAACAGGAAAAAAGCCGCACAACAAAAAAAATAAAGGTAGGCTGCAAATTAATGTGTAGCCCCCCTTTTTGGGTTGGCCAATGGTCTGGTGTTCAAATTAGTTTGTGATGCCCGCTAAGAGCCGGGCTCTGTTTATTTACACACGCATACACACGCACGCACGTACGCACATAGATGCGAGTATAAACATAAACAATTTGATGGGTAGTTGCTTACTTTTGCGTCCAATTCAGTGTGGTGGGGCCTTAACTTGTATTTGTGCACATATGTCTGATAATTGTATGCATGGATGTAATTGATAAGCAGCTTCTTAAATAAATATTATATACGCGCACTTTCTTTGCACTGCACTCGGTATAAATGCAATTAAGTCACCGTTCACTGCGCTAAAATGCTCCCAACCACTGAACAGTGTTGGCTTACACACAAAACTATCGACGTATATATCGATAGTCGGCTTTGTATACGTTTCGATATTACTTTGGAGTTTGCTTAACATATTTTAAGTTTGTTAAACCATGCAAGTCATATAAATAAACGTATGTATATGTATATGTATTCTCTTACTAGCTTTTCATTGTACAAATAACAAAAATAACATTTTCTTATCGTGAAGTTGTTGAAAATCGATAAAACACAAGTTGACAGCAGCTCAATTTTATACTTTCAACCACATTCCTCAATACTCGGGTACATTTTAATAAGTTAAAACGGTTTCAACAAGGTTTGTAAGTTTAAATTTAAGCAATTATCTGAACATAGTTTTGGCTTGTTTTCAAATAATTGGGTTAGTGCTATTCATTAAACAAGTTTGCTAACAATATGGTAAGTTAATGCAACTCTGATTCATAGTTGGTAAAAAGGCAGCGCTTTTTCTTTATATTTTTTTCTGATTCAGTATTGTTTTTATTTAAAGTCAAATATGACTAAACATCAAACGTTATTTTAGCAGCCGGGGTGTACGTCCGAACGCCTCCAGAAGTTAATTTCAAATGAGCGAAAGCGCGGTTTACTACAGCGAATGTTAACTAACAGACTGTTAACTCAATTTGGTAATGTTAATGAAATGCAACCCTGATATCCAGTTTGCAGAGAGTTAGCAGCACGATTTACGCATTTCTCTGATTCGTGTTTATGTTTGTATTTATTGTGAGAAATGAGTATTAACTGGATTAAAATAACCGAGCGGTAAGGTTTTTAAGATTTGTTCATGTGAATTATCATCGAACTCATTACATTTGATATTCAGCGCACGCGAAGGCATCAAAATCATCAATGCCCTGCCCTACGATACGTTTACGACAGTTCTGCTCTACGTCCACCGACAGATGAGTCCTGGCAGCTCCGCTGCAGCTGCTTCCGCAGCTGCTACCGCAGGCGTTGCGAGTGCAGCCAATAGCTCGGGTAATGCCACAGGTAGCACGACTGTGGGCACCAGTGTCACAACCACCGAACGAACGGGCAGTAGCATGGAGACAAGTCACACAAGCAGCGAGCCCGAGTATACGCTGGAGGAGCTGGAACGTTTGGTGGGCGTGGCCCGTGCAGACTTCTTGCTGTTGATCAAGACATTCTCTTATATCTTGCGACGCATTTCGACGTTTATCATCAAGCCCAGCCACTTGCAGCGCGAGCTGCGCGACAAGCTCCAGCTGCAGGACGAGGCGAAAATCGATGCCATATTGCGGCTCTGGGTGAGGCAGACGACGCCCATGCTTAACAACTTGGCAAGCGAGCGGTATGAGTCGAATGTGATCGAAGATATGGCCTGGAAGCTGAATGTGGAGATTGCCTCTCATTGTCAACAGCGCGAGAAAACGGCGCTGGCTGTACTCCAGCTGAAGACGGTCGCCGGCGAAGATATTAACTTTGAGATGACGCAGCCGGAGCTGTTGCAGCTGTTCAATCAATTCGAGCACATCCAATCAGAATTGGATGCCACTCTGGCCAATATGAAGGGCAATGAGGGGAGCACTGAGTGAGCTGAATTTTACTCAAATTTACGCATTATTTCCTAATTATTAGAGCAGGCTGTTTATAAGACTTATGTATATATTAAATTGTTAACTTTGTTTTTTTACGTGATTTAAAATAATGCTACTTTAGAAGCGAGCTACAATAAAATTGAGTTTAAATAACGCAAATAACTTAGACGATAATAGAAACATTGACAACAGTTGCTCGCCTTACTTTAAACGGACTGCGCACTTAAAGCCGATGTCAAATAAAATAAGTGTTTGATAACGTTCAATTTTCGATATATCGATAACACACTGCGCGCCAATAGGAGCCATTGGCATTTGAAATGAAATTACAATTTGTTTTGTTTTTCTTGCTTTTTAATATGCATTTCATTTTTTTGTTTTGCTTGTTTCATAATTCTACTGATAAACATTACAAATTATTACACTGATATAGATGTACCTTTTTTATATATATGTATATATTGTATATGCATATGTATTTTCGTTTATGTATATATATATATATATGTATATATATATATGTGTATATCAAGTCGAAACTCTTGCAGACTTGTTAGTTATTCATTCATGCATATGTATTTAGTTTATACTCGTAAGTAAGTAGGTTTGTGTGTGTGTGTGTGTGTATTAGTGTGAATTGCACATTTCTGGCCTGTGGGTCAATGGGGGATCGTTGTTTTCATCTATATATTTTTTCACATATATATTTATATATAAGGTCTTGCTGTTAGCTAGACTAAAAGCAAAACGTTTCTATTGCACATTATCAACTAATTTCAACTAAGCTGGAACCAATTGTGTGTTGGCAACTGAAATTAGACTACATTCATTATATATTGACTCTTGCTATTGCTAAATTGTTATTGTTACTGTTAGTTTTTAGTTACTCTTTTCTTTTTGCTACTCTCGTGTGTGTGTGTGTGTGTGTGTGTGTGTGTGTATTTTGGCACCGGCTAAATGCTTATGTTAATTCGCTTACTGTTAAGCTACAGAGTCTACTTTAACATTCTCTTCTTTTACACTATTTTATGCATACGTACAAAAACCATAAACAAAATTCGTTTGTTTTTGTTGTGTAAATGATTATCGCCTGGCAGTAATGCGTTGGTCATTTGTATTTGTGCTTGAGTTGTTCTTTTTGCTGTTGTTGTTGTTGCTCGGTGTACGGTTACTATTATGTGTCATTTCATGTTTCCCTTAGGCTAACAGCGCCTTGTGCATTAACAGTACTGCACGCTGTTAACTTGAATAACGTATGTTAAATGAAAAACTAGCTTGAAAATCAAAATAAACACAAAAAATGATAAGTTTCTTTTGGTTTTGTTTTGTTTTAAATAAAATTCTATATAATTAAACAATATTAAAGTAGCACATACACATACATCAAAAATTACACACATATACAAAGGTATTGTTTATATATATATATAGTATATAGTTTAGAGATTAAAAAAAATAATAGAAATATATTAAAAATTAGATTGATACAAATTGTTCGTTTAAAACTATGTAACTGAATTATTGCAATTTTTACATTACACATTTTACGCATATGTACACAAGTATGTGTATATATAGATATCGTATATCGTATATCGAATATCGTATATATATATGTATGTATATATATATGGTATAGTATATGTATATATATAAAAAAAACCATTTAGCGCTCGATCTGTTCTTCTGCTTCCTCAACTAACATTTAGTGTACAAAAAATTGGAAGTTACATATATATATATATAGATGATATATATGTATAGGTATACAAAAAATTGTGGCTAGCGATAAAAATATGTGTTTTGTTTTCGTTTTACTTTGCTTCTTTGACAATTAGTTTTATAATAATAATAATAATAATATCTCGGTAGTTTCCATTAGCAGCGTTTACAGAGTACAAGACGAGACAGGATTGGATTGATAGATATCTATATATATGGTGTATATATATATATATATAAATCTATATAGAGGGTATATAGTAGTCTGTATTGTAAAACGACTTGCGACGCCCTCACGACATGTTCATACGTATATATATGTATATATATCTGCGAGTGCGAAATCGTCTTACAAAACAGATTTTTCTTTGTAATTTTGTATATATTTTTTTCATATTTCTCATTTATATGGAAAAAGTGTTCCAATCCAGACTGGTTGTACTATATACGATACACAGACACACATATGTGCATGCCCAGATCCATATATCTATGTATATATGTGTGTATATAGGCTATATCGATAGCATAATATCAAGCGTTACTTATCGAGTTGATCTTAAGTCAAAATTTAATTATTTAGTTTGCCACGTGGATTCAGCGCATTGCTTCTACGTCTCGGTTGAAGGTGGGGCCAAAGGGGTGGGCGGTGGCTTCTTGCAGCTGCGGGCGTGGCCGTTTGTCAATCATTCGTTCAGCTGGCGGCTTACATGCCCGATTCCGCAATGCCCTCGTCATCTGCAAGCATTATCTAATATTAGCTTTTGTTAACAAAGAATCATTTCCATTTAAAGCAAAAACAAATAAGACAATCAAGATATGGGTGGGGGGAGGTGGAGGGGGGCGTGTGGGAGGGGGTCAACTTCGTCAGGCCGAAGTTCAAATGTCCTTGCAGACAGAGCGATATATACGATAATATATAGATCTAAGCACACGTTGACTTAAGGCAATGTGGTTTAACTGACTGCACAATGCTCGCTCTTAATCTAGATATATATTTCGCCTCTATGGGCGGCACATAAAGCACGTGCTGCGCAACATTGATTCCAGATCTTGGCTACAAAGCTTGCTATATGTCGACGAGCCTGCGGGGCGTGGCATAGAGTGAAGTGGGCCAAAAGCTGATTTCAATCAATTCTCTGTCCATCCGTCTGTCCGTCTTTCTGCATGTCCTTCCGTCTGTACGTCTGCTCGTCCATCCATCTATCCATTTGCCTGTCCATCCATCAGTTCGTCCGTTCGTCTGCTCGTACATCCGTCTGTCCCTAAATTCGTCCGTCCGTCCGTTTGCCCATACGTCTGTTCGTCCGTCTGTCCTTCCATCTGTCCGTTTATCTATCTGTCCGTCTATCCGTCCATCCGTCTATCCGTCTGATTGTCCATCCATCCGTTAGTACGCCCGCCCATCTGTCCGTCCGTCCATCCTTCCCTCCGTTCGTCCCTCCGTCCTTTGTGTCGTGGCAAATCGGGTTCTACTTAAACTCAACTAGGGAATGCGCCCAGCACTTGCTCGTCTAGACAAAGCCCTGACATATGGCATTTAGCTTCTATATCTGACTTGTCAGTTTGCCACGCCCACAGCAGGCGTGCTTAAGTGATATTTGATCAAAGCTTAACACTTTATGAGCTGAGGGTAGTCTTTAATACGGACAGACAACTGCAGAGTGTCTGCTAGGATTGACTGGTTTATCCTAGACTAATACATATATTTATATATATAGCTTGCTGCAAGGGTATTACAACTAATCAATAAAGCAAGGTAACATGCAACAACAACAACAACAACAACAACAACAAATGTGAAACATGCAGCAGAAAGAGTTAGCTTCAAGTGTGTTAAGCATGCGAGAGCGAGAGAGTTGGGTGAGTGAGTGAGAGGGAAGTTAGCTAGGGACAGAAAGAGAGAGCTAGATAGTGGTAGAGAGAGAGAGAGTGAGAGAGAGAGAGCGTATTACAAACCCATAAATGGATTGGCATAGATAATGCCGCCATTGCCATTGCCAACGGTTGAGCCCGGCTCCAAAGCGCATTTGCCAAGAGCAGCAGCAGCTGTCGCTGTTATGCCGGCCATGCCAAGCCCAACGCCCACAGCAACCCCGCCCAACCCAACAGCACCACCAGCACCACCACCACCACCACCACCAGCAGCAGCAGCAGCAGCAGCATTTCCAGCACTGTGACCCTTGGCCTTTATCAAGTGATCCGTGTCGCCGATGAGCGTGGCCAGATCGTCGTCATCGCCGTGGCGTGTGTTGCAGCTGCTGCCCAGGAGCTGGTCATAGCAGCTGACATCGGTGCTAATCACATCCACCTCGATGTCGTCGTCATCCTTCTCCAAGCTGTTCCGATTGCTGCCACCGAGCGAGCTGTGCAGGGCATGGGAATCCTCATAGCTGCCGCCGCCGCTGTCATCGTTGGCATTGTTCGACTTGGCATCGATGTGCGTCTCGAACTCGTCGTGCATGTAGAGCACATCTTCCACATCCTCCACAACTAGCCCATCTTCCTCCTCCTCCTCCACATCCTCCTCCTCCTCCTCCTCCTCGTCGTCGTCCTCGTCTAACTGCTGCTGCTGCTGCTCTATTGCCTGCTGGCCCTGCTGCTGCTCCAGCGCGTCCTCATCCTCATCCTCTTCCAGCTGCAGCTCGAGCTCCTCGCCCAGCTCCAGCGAACGTCTGCTATAGACTTCCTGCTCAGCAGTTGGAGTTGATGCTGGAGCAGCCACTGGCTGCTGCTCCTCGGCATAGCTAAGTCGGCCGCTGGCCGTGATCAGCTCATGGCTGAGACTGTTCTTGATGTCGCTGGAGCTGGCACTGAATGTGATCAATTGGGATTTGCGCCGATGCTGGAGCGTATTGTAGCCGTTCGCTGGCAGCGAATTGGTCATTATTGGCGCTGCCACTGGCTGCGTTTGCAGCCCATCCTTGGAGTCGATGTCCACGCGGCTGCCCTCCTTGCAGATCATCGAGCTGGGCTTGTTGTCAACCAGCACGATAACCACCGAGTTGTTGTTATCGCTCTGATTGACAACCGCCGAATGTCATCTGTCCGGCGCATCGACACCGAACGAGCTCATCGAATTTGAGCCGATGCCCATGCCCATGCCCATGCCCATGCCCATGCCCATGCCCAAGCCCAAGCCCAGACCCAAGCCCAAGCCCAATCCGTTGCTGGCGTTGCCGAAGCTGCTCGTCAGCGGCTGCTGTTCGTCGTGATGAATTGCCGCGTTCTCGTCATCGATAGCCTCCAGTTGATGGTGCAGTTGCTCCTCGATGGTCGCCAATATGGCGCCATGCTCCTCCAGTTGACCATCTCCGCCTACTTACACGCACACACCGACAGCAATGCGTACATTGTGAGCGTGTGTGTGTGCGTATCGATGTGTGTGTGTGTGTGTGTGCGTGTGTGTTAGAAGAAATTTGCATTTTTGTTAGTCATGTCGCCGATCCCAGCACCAAAATGTGTATAAAATGAGCTCTGCTCACGTGTGGAGTGTGCACGACTAGAATATACCCTGTAGACAGTTACCAGCTGCCAGTTGGCAGTTTTTAGCATCTCTATAGATCTGTTTATCTATCGAACGGCCTCTCAGCAGTCTATGCTGTCAATCGATATTTATCGATTTATCTAAAATTCATATAGCTGTTCATATTTCATAAGTTTGTACGACGAAAGCGTAAATATCTCATATAAAACTACTAACTACTAAAACGATGAAAGACATCGATATTTATCGATTCACTAAAAAACACTTATTATCGATATGCATTAAAAAAGTCAAACAAAAATGTTAAAGCTTAAATGTAAAACTAATATAGTCGTGGAGACGTCTCTTCTATACATCAATAAATTAATCGATATTAATCGATCTGGCCTATTTAAAAGCAATTTACGCTACTTTAGTGTAAATACTATTTTAATAGGTTAAGAAACGAATGTCTATGCTGGTAAAACCTTGGAGCTAGGCCATAACAATCAAGGTTTTAAATCGATACTTATCGATAACACAAGATAGCACTTATTGCCCATATTGGAAGGGCGGCTTGGTCATCAGAGGCTCATATGAAAAGCTCTCTTACGGACATGTTGTCTATGTCTATCTAAGTTTTCACTAAAATCGATAACTATCGATCGGTCAGTATTCATTTTACTAGGCATAGCTCGGATATACTAAATGCCAGAGCTGAGTAGGAGCTCGTTTATTCTATTTGCTTCTGTAATATATTTATACAGGGTATCTGCAAGTCGTGCACTTCGCGTTATAGCACACATTTGCTCGCACTTGTGAGCAGAGAATCTCCAATAAACAAACCAAGCACAAATCCTGTGCAGCATTTGTGGGTTAGTGTTAAAAGAAACGAGGCGTTCGCAACGAGCGGCCCAGCACCAGGCAACAATGGGTCCTACGTGTAGCGCCGCACCTACCTTCGAAGCCCTCGTTGTCGTCCATGACACGGGCCGGTCCGACAATATTCTCCTTGCCCTCGAGCACCGCCAGCAGGCACTGATGTATGCAGATGTACTGCTGCTCCGTTTGCACCATCCAGACGCGCTCTGCACAATGGATGGGAGAGGGATTAGCCGAGAGCTCTGGGGGAGCGGGGGAGTGGGCGAGTGGTCTTACCCTTGCGCATGGCATAGACTATGCCAAAGATGTCCACATAGTCGGACGTATTGATCTGCTGCAATATGCGATCCAATGTGATGAAGGTGCCGGATCTGCCAACGCCAGCGCTGCAGTGCACCAAAATGGGACGTTGCTCGGCGCCGATGCGATCTCGGAACGCGCGGACGAAACGAACGAGCGTCTGGGGGGGATTGGGTACACCAAAATCGGGCCATGTGATGAAGTGGAAGTGCCGCAAGATGCGCTGTTCACTGCCCTGTTAGTGACAAAGAGAGAGACAATGAGAATCAGAGAGAGAGGCAGAATTATGACAGGCAGAAATGAAGAGAGTGGGGATGGAAGGATACTGAGCATATTAAGAAGGAGAGGAGACAAGGCTGGAGCTGAGGCTACTTACGCGACACAGCATAAACTCGGTCATCACCCAGTCGGCGTAGTGGCTATCGTTGAGTATTTGCACCTTGATGTCGCCATAGAAGACGGGCACCGTGTCGTTGGGCCAGTACTGGTCGCACTTCTCGCGGCCCTTCTCGAAGCAGCGGGTGAGCATGACAATCGCCCGGGAGTTGCTCTCCCAGCACATGCGCCAGAAATCGTCGCGTGTGGAGTGCAACGGGCCCTGGGTGACAATGAATTCACGCGGTGAATTGTGGCCGGGCACATAGTTGGCATTGATGTAGTCGGAGCCCTCGTCGTCGTCGACGGGCTGCAGCTTGAAGCGCGAGTGATCGTAGGGTAGAATATTGGTGAAGCGGTTCTTTGGCCGATTGCAGGGCAGATCGGCAAACGTGCAGGGCTGATCCCGGCCGACATGCTTCAGCTCCTCGAACTCCTCGCTGAAACGGAAGTCCGAATCGGCAGACATCAGGCGATAATGCTCCGCAAAGTTCTTTATCAGTATGGGCCGATTCTGTTCGATGACGCTGTCCGGCAGGGACATATTGTCATTGGCGCGCGAGTCCTTCGTGGTCTTGCGGCAATTGTTGCGACGTCTCTTGTAGAACAACACCGTAAACAGCAGCACCACGATTATCGTCAGCGGCACGGTGATGGCCACAATCACCGTCGAGTTGCCTTGATCTGCAAAGGGCAGGACAGCGGGAGAGAATGAAAGAAAGTGATTGATTATAGCTTATGGCATTAGAAGTGCTTCATCCTGGCTGACTGCTTACCCGGTGAGCTCAGCAGCTCTATAAACATGATTATAGAACGTGCCAGAGGCAAGACATAGATTAGAATCGGATTAAATATAATATGCAGTTGGATTAGTTAGTTATTGTAAATGAATCACTCCATCGATAAGTCAGTCAATCACTGACTGAATGAGGCAGTCAATCAGCCAATTAGTCAGTGAGTTTGTGAGTCAATCACTCACTGAGTGAGTCAATCAATCACCCAATCAGTCAGTGAGTTTGTGCTTCAGTCAGTTCGTCAATCACTGACTGAATGACTCAATCAATCAGCCAATCAGTCAGTGAGTTTGTGAGTCAATCACTCACTGAGTGAGTCAATTAATCAGCCAATCAGTCAGTGACTTTGTGAGTCAATCAGTCAGTCAATCACTGACTGAATGAGTCTATCAATCACCCAATCAGTCAGTGAGTTTGTGCTTCAGTCAGTTTGTCAATCACTGACTGAATGACTCAATCAATCAGCCAATCAGTCAGTGAGTTTGTGAGTCAATCATTCACTGAATGAGTCAATCAATCAGCCAATTAGTCAGTGAGTTTGTGAGTCTGTCAGTCAGTCAATCACTGACTGAATGAGTCTATCAATCACCCAATCAGTCAGTGAGTTTGTGCTTCAGTCAGTTTGTCAATCACTGACTGAATGACTCAATCAATCAGCCAATCAGTCAGTGAGTTTGTGAGTCAATCACTCACTGAGTGAGTTAATCAATCAGCCAATTAGTCAGTGAGTTTGTGAGTCTGTCAGTCAGTCAATCACTGACTGAATGACTCAATCAATCAGTGAGTTTGTGAGTCAATCACTCACTGAATGAGTCAGTCAATAAGCCAATCAGTCTATCACTGACTGAATGAGTCAATCAATCACCCAATCAGTCAGTGAGTTTGTGCTTCAGTCAGTCAATCAATGGCTGAATGAGTCAATCTATCTGTTAGTCAGTTAGTCCGCCAATCAATCACTTAATTAGTCAATCGTTTACTACATCAATCAACCAATCAATCAGTCGTCAATTCGTCCGCCAATCAATCACTTAATTGGTCAATCACTATATCAATCGGTCAATCTGTCAACCCAACATTCAATCACTCAATCACTCAATCAGACAATCAGTGAATCAGTTTACTAGACAACCATTCAATCAGTCAGTCATTCAATTCATCAGTCAGTCATTCACTATATAAATCAATCAATCAGTTGTCAATTCGTCCGCCAATCAATCACTTAATTGGTCAATCACTATATCAATCAGTCAATCTGTCAACCCAACATTCAATCACTCAATCAGTCAATCAGTGAATCAGTTTACTAGTCAACCATTCAATCAGTCAGTCAATCCATCAGTCAATCAAATCATCTACAATGAACGATCTATGAATCACAGAACTAGTTCAGTGAAACGAACTACTGGAAGAGAACTCCACATACGTAATACATCCGGACGTCCGGTCCGACTCACCTGTTTGTATGGGAAAACTGTAAGCGGTATCCGTGAATTTGTCGGGGCCGGTGAAGGCGCGCACCTTCACCCGATAGGTGGTGCCCGACTTGAGGGGTCCGTTGCAATAGCCAATTTTGTGATTGTCACAGTTCTCGGTGCCGATGGTGAAGTCCTCGACGGAGCGATTCTCGAACGGGTAGTAGGGATCGATGGCCTGGTAGGGCAACCAGACGTTATATGACTGCACATCCAGCCAGCTGGGCATCTCCAGGCCGGACGCATTCTTTGCATCATCCTCGGCCACGATGATCGTGTACATGCGCACCTGACCATTCTGATCGGAGAAGTAGTTCTTTCGGAATCGTATTTGTATGGTCGATGAGCTGCGATACACCTCGGTGGGCACCACCTGGGTGGCGGGACGGGGAGGCGCTAGAATCGGCATCGTTTGCTTATACTCCCGTTCCGGGCCGTAGCCAATGGCGGTCTTTGCCTGAATCTTGAACACATAAGTCTCGCCGGGCTTGAGGTTACGGATAATGCCAAAGGATTCCTCCGAGTCAAAGTCCTGCATGCCCGCATCCGTCAGATTGTTGATGTTCGTGTACGCAATCGAGAATTGCCGGATGATGCCGTTCGCCTCGCTCGACGGCAGCGACCACTCGAAGTTAATCTCACTCGGCTGCACGTCCATCGGATGGAAGCGCTCGACGCGCCCTGGCACAGCCTCGTTGGTCGTAAAGCTGGCAGAGAGCGGCGCGCTGCTGCGCAGCACTGAGGACTCCGTGCCGGAGCGTACGACCACGGTGAATGTGTAATTGCGATGCGGACGCAGCTCGCTAATTGTGATCTCATTGCGCGTGGTCATGTTCTGCGCCAGCAAATTATCGGCTGTGAGGTAGGCGATGTCAAAGTCGTTGTACTCGCCCTTGGGTAGATCCCAGCGCAGCGATATTTCCGTATCCGTAATATTTGTGGCATGCAGCTGTGTTATGGGCTCCGGATAGAGGCGATCCTGTCGCTGTATCGGCAAACTGGCAACGCCTCCGCTCACCGTCCAAACGGTAATGTTGTAGAGTCGACCCGGTATGAGACCCGTAAAGGTAACCTTGCGATCCGTATCGTTGGCCAGCTTCTCCTTCTCCTTGATCTCCGCATCGCCCAGCGAGAAGCGATAGATATCGAACTTGGATGAGGATTGCGGCGTCGGTGTATAGCTCAACGTTATCGTATCTCGTTCATCCTCCTTCTCCCCATTGGCCACTACCACATCGGATTGTATGAGAGGCATGGTGCGTGGATACAGACTCGTTGTACCCGACAGTATGCCATACGAGGTGGTCTGTATATCGAATTTGTATTGGACACCCGGCATTAGTTCGCCAATCAGCACTCGCACTGTCGACAAATCATCAGCTGCAGGCAGGGAGAAAGACGGAGATGCTGATTAGTGGCATACGACTATTTCCTTTATCGTTTCACAAACTTTCTTTACTGATCATCTTTGACTTAGAACTAATTTTCAAATCTATTTTCCTGCATAAGAACTGATCTAGCCCAGTTCAAGTCTTTCTTAACCTCTTCTACTTAGGAAGTCTTCATTTACCCTTCACCCTTCTGCCCCCACTTACCCGATTTGTTCTCGGAGACATTTTTGGTCTGCACACGAGTTGGATTATCGCTGGGCCACCATTTAAGTATGTACGATTCCACCCGACCCTCCGGCTTGGGCCACTCCAGCGTAATGTTTCTCGAATCAACGAGCTGTATAATATTGGAGACGGGATTCGGTGGCACAGTTGTGTTCACCTCCTGCGGGTTGGGACTCTCGACACCGAAGCTAACCGTGTTCACCTGGATGGTGTACTTCTCGCCCTTGGTCATGTCCGTGATGTCGGCCTCAGTGGAACGTACGCTAGGCAATCGCACCCACTGCTGCTCGCTATCCGTGCGATACCGTATGGAATACTCCGTGAATTCGCCGCTCTCTGGCGGCGACCAATGAACGAGCACCGAGTTGCTGCGCACCGTTTCGATGGTCATGTTGCGTGGCGGATTGGGAACTGATGTGGGAAATGAGGTTGCCCAGTAAATGGAACGAACTTTGAGGCATTTCAGAGATTGCACTACTTACAGACTGCCTGGAAGTAGGCGTGCGGCTCGCTGCGTAGCTCGTGACTGACAGCGAAGACCTTGAGCTCATAGCCAGCGCCGGGCTGTAGATTCTTGATGACCAAACGGGATTCCTTGGTGATGAGGGTGCTCACCTCGCTGGTGCCGTTGCGGGAGTACAGCACCTCGTATTGCTCCTGCTTCGAGTTGACATCGCTCTTCCAGCTGATGTTGAGCCCCATGCGTATGCTCTTCAGATCCTCGATGATGGGCGACGAAGGACGAGTGACCACAAAGATGCTCGTCTCATTCGATTCCATCTTCTTGGACACCGCCTGCACGGAGAGCGAATAGTTGCGTCCGGGCAAAAGACTCTCGAGGGTAAAGCGTGTGCGATCTGTGGTCAGGGTGCTCGTATCTCCATTAAATGTCTCCAGCTCATGGTAGCTAAGACAGGGAGCATTAGTACCAAGTCTGGAAGGATCTGCGCTTTACTTACACAATGCGATACTCGTCCTGCGTGCTAGCCGCGTCAGCCTCCCAGGTTATGATCATCGTATTGGTCTTGTCGTCGTTGAAGCTGCGCAAATTGCGCACGGGTAGCGGTCGCAGCGTTACATCACCAGTGGCAGGCCACGAGGTGACCTTGCCGGACACCGTCTTCACAATCACATTGAACGTTTTGCCCGGCTCGGCGATGTCGCGGAAATCGAAGTAGGCAATTGGCTCGTTGCTGCGCGCAACCGTCGATTGACGACGCGTCGTTGCAACGGACACCTGATACTTGTCGAACTCGGAAACGCCCTTGGGCGCCTCCCACAGCACCCGGAACGAGTTCGATGTGATGAAGTCCTTGTCGAAGGTGACATTAAGTGGACGCAATGGCACCGTACGATACTGTGCTGTTGTTGGCAATGATATCTCATCCTCGGACATTGTTTGCACGGAAATATTGTAGGCACGTCCAGGGACGAGTCCTTTGAATGCCGCCTGTGCCGGACCCGGCGGTTCGCCCTCCTTCTCCACATAGAGCACACTGTCATTGGCATCGGGCGGCTCTATGGACACCTTGTAGTGCGTATAAATCCCAGCCGGATATGGTGGCTGCCAGAGCACCAGCAGCGTTGTCTCATTACGAAACCATACAATAAATTTCCCCGGCGTATTTGGCTCTACGGCAAGGACAAGGCGTAAACAGAACAAGAAGAAGAACAAGCAAAATGCAAGCAAATTGCAATCTGTTAGTTAATGCCACCAAAAGATATTGTCTAAAGTATATATATAGGGTATACAGGAGTGTATAAGACTATATATATATGTCTATGTATATGTATATGTGTAATTTAAGCTTTTCACTGCTTGCACAGTGGTTAAAACATGCAAAATGTGTCCTTTAAATTTGTTTTTCTTGTTTAGTCTGTTGGAAGTAGAGGTATGTAAGTATAAGTATGTATATGTATATGTATATGTATATATGTATGCATAGGTTCTAGTTCTAATGAGATACTTATGCTTATGAATATAAATATATATGTACACATGTTAATTTAAATAATTTTTTTTTAATAAAACTTAATTGAAATTTAATTTAAATTGATCATAATCAATTTTAATTTATTTTGTTCCTTTAACTCATATCAAATTAATTTTCTATATTGGCATTTGCTTATACACGCAAAGCCAATTGGGAATTATAACAGCAGTCAAATACTATTGCCAGTGCTGCCAGATAGATGGAGAATGCAAGATATTAGCATGAGGGCAGACCACGGCACGCATGCATATGCATATGTGTGTATGTGTGTGTTTGCTAGTTTGTTTGTGTATATTTGTTTGTAGTATTTGCTGTGCTTGTCGACACACGAATCGCATCAGATTAGTGTGTGTGTGTGTGTGTGTGTAGTCGCACTTTGTTGTGGCCTGTGGCTCAGAGAGCAAAAGGGATAGACACAATGGGGGCATATGCAATTTGAGGCTAGCCAAATGAATTTGGAACATTGCCAACGAACCCCCTAGGTCAGGGTTGGTTTTTGACCAAAAAACAAGTAGCTAAAAAACGAAATTTAGTCAGGCTTTGAGTTTAGTTCTACATAAAAAGAGAAACTAATGAAAAAAATACAACTGAAAGCTACTTGAAATGGATTTGGCATGCAGTAGTAGAAAACCGTTATGTGAGCTTTACATTACCTCTCAAGATTTTGATGTCCAGCAATTCTTTATGCCGCGTCCTTCGACCTTTTTTTTATTTTTTAGTTTTTTTAGTTACATTTACGTTAAAAAGCACAAAAGTTAAGAGCAGAAGAATGAAATATGTTTTTTTGTTTGTTTTAGTTACATTTTAGGCACCAACACCACAGGTGAAGAAAAAAAAAAAAAACAAAACATAATTTGATTAGGAAACGCCTCACTTACTTGTTGTAAAGTTGCGACTCGTGTAGGCCACAGATTCTTTGCCATCATATATGGTATAGGCCTGTACCTGGTAGGTAGCACCTGGCGTCAGCTCCTTGACACTGTGCTGGAATGTATTGTCGTTGACCTGGAAGGTGCGATTGTAGCTATTGGATGCCTCCGATAGGCCTAGCACCTTGATCTTAAATGCCGTATAGCTGCCCTGTGTGGGCGGTGACCAGAGTATAATGGCATTTTTGCCGCTGCGCACCTGTACAGATAGGTTGGAAGGTGGATCGGGCGCTGAAATTAATTGATAAAAAAATGAAATTAATTAATAAAAATAAAAAATACATTAAGTAAAAGTAATAGTTGGAGTTTTCGTCTAGGTTTGAACCCCCACCTTCCAATTCTTGGGCGAACACACTACACTGCAGCACTGTCGATATTAGCTGATAGCTTGCTGAAAGCTCAACCCGCTGTCGCTGCCGCTGCTCAGTAGTATCTACAGTTAGCTGCTCTGCTGCTGCTTAGTCGCTGCCTGCTATCTATTTTTAGCTACAGCAGAGTTAATGTGCGCTCTCTCTCTGTTTCTCTCTGTCGCTGTCGTTGACGTTGTCGCTCTTTTAATGGCATCTTGTTTTTGTTACTGCTGCTGCGCAACTGGTTTTTGTTTTTGTGCAGAGCGATTTTTCACTTTCTACTTTTAATAGCTTTTGATGGAGACACCGAGGGAGGAGCAAAACAGAAACAGTGCGTGGTGCCTTTTGGCTGCATTTAAGTTAACGGCACTTTAATTATTGAAATTTAGCGAAATATTTAAGCAGAATAAAATAAATATTATTGCTTACACACCTTAACAAAAGATACCAACAAAATGTAGCATTTAATCGGACCATTTTACAATTTTAGCCTTTTTTCATTGTATGTGCGTATGTTATATTCAACTATACTCTTGGCTCTTGTCTTGTATATATTTTGGACACTACTCTGTTTGATTCCGAAAATCCCATAGCAGCAAAAAAATAAATTTTGCATCGGCCGGGAATCGAACCCGGGCCGCCCGCGTGGCAGGCGAGCATTCTACCACTGAACCACCGATGCTCGATAGATGAAGCATCTTAAATGGCAGCTAGCTGAAAGATTACCTTTCTCTAGCTCAGCTATTTTTTATTCTCTGCTGCAGACTGTCTTTTTTTAGTATATTTATAAAATGGAGGCAATTTGTTTTTGCTTTCTGTTATATTCCATTGAAGACAGACAACATTTGCTATCTCTCTCTCACCTTACGAATTGTAAAGCTTTTTTTCAAGTTCCTAAGTTGAACTCGCCTGCATTTTCAACTCCAGTTGCCTAAAGCTATAAACTCACCTGTTGTAATGGTCACCGTCCAGGTGAGCCAATCGTGATGCGTAAAGTTAGTGTAATATAGCCAGAAATTGTATTTGGTGCCAGGCAGCGCGCGCGAGAATTGAATCTCGTTGCCGATATCCCGCGAAGCGATCGTCGTATTTGGCTCCGGATAGCCAAAGGGCGGACTGTAATCCAGCCGATACGAAGCACCATCATCCAATCCGGGATTATTGGGTATGCTTATGGCCAGATCAGCGCCATAAGCGTGCTGCAATAAAATAAAGAAAAAGCCAAAATTTAAGAATCTCTGTTAGATAAATGCAACTGTGGCGTTTCATAGTTGCGGAGTTCGAACCCCCTAGACTATTGAGAGAGTGATGTTTGAATAGTGAGAGAGTGACATGTGCATTTGAATAGCTGAACTTCTCACATTAGGTACTTCTAATCAAGGTAGCTGGACGAGACAATAACCACCCAATGTGTCTGGTGGAAACAGCTAAGCGAGAACAGAGCTTAGCTTAGCTCAGAGATTGAGCCGCTGTTGTTCTGTTCCATAAGTTGTGCCATTTTGTAATAATTACTATAAGTAGTTGCAATTATTTGAAGTGGGCCACGAGGGAAGCTCCCTTGTGTTGGCTTCTAGGTGGCTGCCCACCTGCCTCGCCGCCACTTGGCAGCACTGGCGCAACGATGGCCCAACACAAAAAGTGCAATGACATTCGCGAAATGCAAACAAAAGTAACAACTGACAATAAAATGGCGCATGGAGTGCATGAAGAGCATCTTAATGATGATGCTGCTGATGATGATGATGTCCTTGTTGTTGCTGCTGTAGCTGTCCTTTGGCTGGTGACAGACGCCAAATATTAACAGCGCAAACAATGCGATGCGGCGCGAAAAAATACAAAAAAATAATGATAAACAAATAATAATGAATGCGCTTCCAGCAGCCAGACTGAGAGTGACAGAGACAGAGACAGACAGGCAGAGAGAAAGAGAGAGAGAGAGAGAAAGCGAGGCAGAGTAAGAGCGCAACCACATTGTAGGGCTTAAAAGGCACAGAGTTACCACTAGAGACCCCTGACAGCAGCCCTACTGAATGTGTGCACAAATAAGCATGCTCCAGTTGGGCATGCACGACTAGCTGATGCCCTGAACTCATGAACACTCAGTAGGAGAGGGACAAGGAGGTATGGCCAGACGGACACCGATTCATATAGCTTCTGTGTTCGTTCAGGCCTATTAACTTCCGTTACATACAGTTCATAAGAACCTATATACCCTAAATTGCTATTTTTTATTAAGCTCTTGTGCAGCTCTATATGAAAGTTATAAATCGAAGCGTAGGCAGCTAAAACGCATCACTTTCGTTGCACATCAAATGGAACAGAATAGGGCAACAACTGCAGTTGCCTGCATTAAGTTGGCTGCATCAGGCAAGCTTAAGAACAAGAATGAAGTTGGCTGCAGTTGCTGCATGGTCGTTAAGTTAGCTGCGCCTGTTAAATTCTTCGTCAACTTGAAGCTGTTCGAGCTATTCGAGTAATGGAAGCAGATTTAACGTGCACTCAGCCAAAGTCCATAATTTACATTTACGTAATGCCCATTTTCTGATGAATTATATGTATTTCGCTGCAAATTTCATTTGTTAAATAGAATTATTGCCGCATAAAAGGCAATAAAGAGAGAGGGAGAGAGAGAGCATCTCTCTCCTTCTCTCAGCCAGGCAAAAGAAGAGAGAGCGAAAAAAAAAACAGAAAATGTCGCACAAAATGGCGGCAAACAGCGGAAGTCAGCTACGTGCTGATATGATTGATGACTGGCGAAAGCATCAAATGTCCAAATGCAAATAAAATTCCAGTTTTTTCGCTCTCTTCGAGTGGCATGTAAAATGCATAAGCTGATAAAAAAGAGCTGTTAGTTTTTCACTTTAGTCTAGTTAGCTACATCAATTTTGAAGGGACGCCACTTGCCGGCACGTACAACACTTAACGAGTTGCCATTTTGCGTTAAGTGGCAACGCCAGCTCACAGAAGCATCATAAATTAGCGCCATTTTTGTTTTACATTCATCCAATACTTTCAAGTGGCTGTAAATGCTGGTCAAGCCCCTCTCTCTCTCTCTCTTTCATTGATATTCTGCCTCTTTCTCATATTCTCTATGTCTCTCAAATTCTCCCTCTTCCATCTCTCTTTTCATGTCTCTATATCTCTATCTCATTATTTCTTTCTCTCTCTCTCATTCCCTAACTCTCCTTATCAATCAGCTGATGCCTTTAACAGGATATTTCAACTTTATCAATCAACACTTAACAGTTTCTGCTTACAGCATTTTTTACATTCTTAGTTTTATATAAGTTTTTTATAGCCAACTCATTCTGGAGCAATTCATTTAAGGCCCCCTTCCCCTTTCCCCTTTCTCCTTCTTTACGTTTCGACGGGCTGTTGGTCAGGCAGTCAATCAGTCACTCAGTCAATCAGCGAGTTAATTGCTTACTTTGCAACACTCATGCATATGAATTAGGGGCATTCCCCCATTGTGATCATTTTTTTCTCCCTCTCCCGCTAATGCTCCCGCTCCCTCTCACTCTCTCTTTCTGTCTTCGGTTTTCTTTGTCTGTCTTCACATAATCAATTTATTTTGTTACACTTTTTTTGTTTGCCTGTTGCTGTTGGTGTTTGTCAGTTTTTTCTACATTTTTCGCAACATTTTTGAGCAACGATTTGTTGTTGTTGTGCTGGGCGGCAAAATTCAATTTAAGTAAAGCTTTCGCTACATTTTATGGCGCGCACACACAGAAGCACGCATGCGATAAGTAGGTAAAGAAAAAGTAGAAACGAAACGAAATGAAATGAAATGAAATGTAGCTCAGCTACACTAATAGCAACAACAACAGCAGCAGCAGTAAAAAGTGCTGTTATTGCTGTAAAGCGCGTGTTAAGCATATGCTGGCAGCTGCTGCTGCTCTCTCACTCACTCCAATTGATTGCATAATTGATGCGTTTCTTTTGCTTTTCTTTACATGTTTCGCTTTTGGGCATTACATGATGCGCGCTTTGGGCAGCGCTGCTGCTGCGCATTCATTAGTCTGCTGGTGCTGCTGCCTAATAATGATGCGTGCCCGCTCACACATGTACGCAAACATTATGCAATTCTCCAATACTCACAGCGCGAAACTCTACAAGAATACAACGACAATGATTCTCAGTACGAGCTTGGTTTCTGGCTATGCTGCCGTCCTCTTCACACGCGCACTAAAGTTGCGGTTGCTAGACCGACAGAGATCTGTGGCAGAGATTAGCCAATGCCAGAGATCTCTGGCTTTAAGTATATTTAGCCATGACCAGACAGCCAGAGATATATGGCGCTCCATTGTAATTAGCATAGTTGTATATTTATACATGTGTATACATAGTGCTCTGTCTCGCATTCTTATAAGTATTCGCACTACCTGCAACCATACCAATTGGAGCATTGCTCCACATGATATAAAATCAAGTTTTTTAGCAAATCAAGAAAAAAATTAATAACAATTAACAATAACAACAAAGCGACGCCAACCTTCGCTTTTTGATTTTCGCTTTGGCTTTGGCTTTGCCTTTGGCTTTGACTCACTCAGGGTCGCTGCGTTATTAATCGAGAGGGAAAGAGAGTGAGTGAGAGAGAGAGCGAGAGTGAGAGGAAGAGAGAGAAAGAGCTAGTCAACTAAGTGAAGGGATTTTTGAATATCGAAAGATTTGCGTATGCAAAATTATTAGCGAAATACATAAAACGAAGATTGATTGACGCTTGATCAAGAACTGTTTTATATAATATAAGCATACACATATGTTTATATGTATATATGTATATAATAATTTATTTTCTTTGACAGAGTTATTTTCCAATTTGGTGATTGATTGAATCATTGCTTGACTGACAGATTGATAGCTGAACCAGTTGATTGATAAATATATTGAGAGATTAACTGACAGACTAAGTGATTGATAATGGAGAGATTGATTGACTGATTAACATTGTAATGATTTAAAACTAACTCTTTTCTGATTATTGTAATGATTTATAACTAACAACATGTATAAACCTATTGAGGGTTTATCGGATTAAATTATTGACTAACTGATTGATTGACTGATTGATAGCTTTTTAAAATGCAACACCTATGATGTTTGACTGGCTAATTAAAAGAATGCATAACTGATTGATGTATTTACTGATTGACTGAAGATTGATTGACTGACTGATTGAATTGATTGACAAGACACAGAAAGAGTGCTGAAAGTACTTTAGCTCAGCTTTTCCATGCAATTCGAAACAGTCTCTTACTTCAATACATATATCCACACAAATATATATGTTTAAATATGTATATATAGATAGACATAACTGTACTTTAAAATGTTTGCTAAGCTTTTATTTGCGAAGTATTTCAAATATTATTTTAATCAAATTTGTTGTCTTCAGGCTTGACTGACTGGCAAATATTTATAATTTCTGAAAATGTTGCATTCGAGTTCATAAATAATTATTCAAAGAGATAGACAAGAGATATACATATGCATGTATATAAATATAAACATATATGCACAGGCCTTGGGTTAGATGAGGGCCAAGTCGACTCGCGATAGCCAAAGCAAACAGAGGACAAGACAAACAACATTTTAAACAAGCAAACAATTCTTAGCAGGCAAAAGTCAACAAAACAAATTATTTTAATAATTTAAAAAAACTCTCTCCAAACAAAAAGCAAAAGAAAAACCTCAAACAGAATAAATAAGAAAAAAGTTAAAAATATAAAAGCAAAATTTAAGTCAAAGAAAATAATTTACATAAGAAAAAATTACATCAGCATCAAATTCAAGTGTTGAAAAGCTAAAATCATTATATATAAATGCTTAAAATTGAATACTTAAGCATACGACACTTAACGCGAAAGAAACCTTGTTTCAAAAGCGAATTGAAGCCTTAAAGCTAAAAGCTTTACTTGCGAAAGCACAAAATTCTAAAATAATTCCCCATTAAAGTAAGGAAACTTTTAAATATACATTTCAATTAAGTATTTAAATTTGATTAGAAAAAAGAAGCTTTTTTAATTTAATTTTGCTATCCATTTTCTAATGCAAATAAGTCAAGATAACATTCAGCCCAAAAAAGCAGACTGCATCATTTTTTGCTTTGCTTTCTTTTATAGATAACGGGAAATGTCACGATAAAAAATTGCTGCAATGTGAAAACCTAACCTTGAATACCGACCAATACAGGCAAATA